GTCTGTCAGCGGCCTGTCGACCCTCGCGTCCTCCTGCAAACAAATAGCGAAGAGCGGGTGCATGTTTTATCAACTGACATGGTTTTTGGTGTATATTTGCAGTTTCTCTGAAGTCAATAACTGTAGAGTTGAAGCTCCGTTGCTCAAATAGGCGCTTGTGTCTGTTCAGTCGGCTTTTGCGCACGGAATCGCTCCCGACGTCGCTTGAATGTCTCGGTTTGGTTCCTGTCAGACGGTGTTTTCAGTCACTGAAATGCGCCTCAGACCGCGACACCTCCTCCACAGACACAGTGGTGAGATAAAGTCCGTTCTCCTGCCTGGTCTCATGCTACATTATCGACCGGATTCCCACAGAGGACAGCAGTGCGATGGCAGCAGCAACGCTGCAACGCGCGTGTCCATCACCAGCGAATCAATAACGCAACGCGCTGACTTCACAAACCATACAGGACTCCGACGTTTGCTCTAGCGTCGACCTTTCCACCCATAAGCTGCTGTTATGTAGGTCAGTGGAGGGCTTGAGAGCACCATCATCATCCTCACAACATCTGAGGTGCGGATTTCAAAACAATGAGCGGAACGGAGAGTTCCCTCCGGAGAACAAAATGAGGACGCATGTGGGATCTGCTAATTGTTTGTTAGTGGATTCGGGCTATTCTTTGGGGGGAAACCCGATGGGGGAAACGTCAGTACCAATCCCTCGAGTCGATATGTATCCAAAACTGTTACCTCACTAATGGAAGCATTTGTGTTTATATCATGCGACCGACGTTACATGCTGTCAACATGTGGGTGGATTGTTGTCAGTTATGGCATGTTGAAAAGTGGATCTTCTTTCATTCTGTGTTAAATCGGGCCCAGAATAAAAGATCTGAAGCGTAGCTTGGGCTGTGAGTGGACACTGAGATCACACACACATCACTTTTTGGGAAAAGAGTTGGAATTTAATAACACAAATTAATAAAATCTGAATGCGTATTATAATACAAATTGCTCAAATACAGGCTGAGCTGTCCAAATACAAACTCATGTTTTTTTTTCTATAAAATGTTTGGTGATGGTAATGGCTGCTGTATCAAGGACAGCAATTTGTGTGAAAACAAAATATCATTTTTACACTTAAAGGAGTAGTTCACTTTAAAAAAAAACTATTGCTGATAATTTACTCACCCCCGTGTCATCCAAGAGGTCCATGTCTTTCTTTCTTCAGTTGAAAAGAAAATAAGGTTTTTGATGAAAACATTCCTGGATTTTCTCCATATAATGGACTTCAATGGGAACCAATCGGTTCAAGGTCCAGATGAGAATTTCAGTGCAAACTGTTCAAAGGGCTTTAAACGATTCCAGACGATGAATAAGGGTCTTATCTAGCGAAGCGATCGCTCATTAAAAAAACAACAACAAAAAAAACAAAGTTTAAGTTTATCAAAATGAACAAATCTTTTTCCAAGTCAATTCGTTCATTGAATGAACCAAACGATTTAGAAAAAGTTTCGTTCATTTTGATGAACGAGTTTGAAAAAGAGAGTCACAAACGTGCGTCACAGAACAGAGCAAGGCGACCATTTGAGCTTATAAAACTTAAACTTTTTTTTTTATGAGTGATCGTTTCGCTAGATAAGACCCTTATTCATCGTCTGGAATCGTTTAAAGCCCTTTGAACAGTTTGCACTGAAATTCTCATCTGGACCTTGAACCGATTGGTTCCCATTGAAGTCCATTATATGGAGAAAAATCCTGGAATATTTTCATCAAAAACCTTAATTTCTTTTCAACTGAAGAAAGATTAAATTATCAACTACTCCTTTAATTTATTTGCCCATTTAAATCCAAACAGCAACTTTGTTTTTTTTGGACTGGGTAGTGTGTGTGTGTGTATATATATATATATATATATATATATATATATATACACACACACACACACACACACACAAATACCAAAAGTAAAATTAAAAGTTTTATATAATAATCTTAAAAGTAAAATATAATAATAAAAAGTGCAAGTACATATTTCAATTTTTAATGCTTATATTCAAAAGACAATGTAATCCCCAAAATAAAGTAAGTGGTCCAGGCTGAATGAATGGTTAATGGTGTAGGTTAAGTGTCATAGGGATCCCAATCGCACTTGTAACAATCATAGTCATTAATTGCTTGGTTGCATATGTTGATGATGTCACCCCTTTGAATGTACATACATATAATAAGAGGACAGTGAAAGGGCACGAATATTGACACATGGAGTCCTGGGATCCAACACGAGGTCTAAAGCTGATCACACCAAAGAGTTGCATGAATTATTGATGCGCTCAAGATAAATTACAACGCAGAGAACAGCGAGACACACACTCATCTTCAAGAAGATCAGAAAGCACTGTACGCTTCACTGACTTCAGTGTGTTTGTTCTGGTTTTGCCTGCTTTCTCAGTGACCCCATTTACACTGATATAGATTATTATTTCAGATAACATGACTGTGTGTGTGCGCAGATCTGACCTTGACCTCCTCTTCCGCACACACTAATCTTGACGATATAAGTCACGTGACCCACAGAGATATGATTACTCCATTTCCTTTTAATAGTCAAAATTACAAAATGATAACATGATCTACATCATCTACAAAATAATAACATAATATCCATGATCATAGTAAGCATCAACATTTTTGTTTTGCTCTGTTTATAGACATGCATATGCTGCTGAGAAATATAAAAATATAAATATAAATACATCCCATTATTATCTTACTTTTCTTTTTTTACTGGTTCGTCGTCGACTATAATTTAAAATAGTTGTAGTGTTTGACAAATTAAATGCGCTAGAGTACAATAAGGCATTGAGATGCAGTGCCAGAGCTGTACAGAGATTAGAGGTATTATTTCATCTTAATGCTAAATTAAAAACAACCTAAATATGATCTGAAGCTTATAATAACAACTACGTTTCTAGACAGAAAGAACAAATCTCATATTCAAATTAAGCTCATGAATAACCAGATATACAGTACCAACACTAAACTGATCAAACAAATCACTCCAGTACGAAACCAACGAGTCTTTTTTTTTTTTCCACCTTGAGCGCGTGTGTGAAGTTCAGTTTTCCTTGAGCGTACATGATTAAGCCCTTCTTTAAACACACCATTCACACATTCATAACAGAAAAAAACACACATCTTCTACAAAAGAGTCTCTATGGAAGCAGTAACAACAGCTTTCATTTGATGGCCTGCTGCTCAGAAAAATAACACGAGGACAAATCTGAAGGAAAAGCCTTTAAACACTTCTTCCTATTATCTTCCCTCTCTTCGAGTTTCCTAGTTCTGCACCTCCTCGTTACAGATTCATGGTTTCAATACTATAGTTGATGTATTGATGAAGGAAAACGTGGGTATTTCAAAACCCTACAGTACAGTCGTGACCAAATGATTAGACTCAAACAAGCATTCTACGATATTTTAGGTTTGATCACGTCTCACACAACATCAAAAACGTTCATTTTTACATTCTAAATGTAACCATTCAGGACAGTCCTGTAAAAAGAAGCTAGCGACTAATAGTTAGCATTTGCTTTCAGGTGATTTATGAGCGGTCGGCACACATCAGGCCAGGTTTCACGTCTCGTACGGTTGTTTAAACAAGTATAACGGTAGTCTGGGTAATCAGTGACAAATTAAGTCACATTGACGCACAAAAAAACAAGAGTTTAATTATTTGGCCAGTTCCGTACACATGACTGGATGTGCGAATCTCTAGCTCACGTCCAAAATAATAATAATAATGGACTACTATTACTACTAGTCAACTATTATGATTTTGACATTGTGGCATTATTTCACTGAATTTTTTTTTAGGACTGTCAAACGAGTAATCGCAATTAATCGCATACAAAACAAAAGTTTGTGTTTACATAATATATGTGGGTGCACTGTGTATAATTATTTTTTTTATATATATATATATATATAAACACACACACATGCTTGTATACATTTAAGAAATATTTTCATGCATATACTGATTTTTATTATATATAAATATAAATATTTTAGATATAAATAATATTTTTTCTTAAATATCCATAAATGTGTGTGTATTTATATATATATAAAATAATTATACACAGTGCACCCACATATATTATGTAAACAAACTTTTATTTTGGATGCAATTAATCGCGATTAATCGTTTGACAGCCCTACATTATTAATAATGTTTTTAAATGTTTGTTTGGTTTTGTTTTAGCTTAAATTAAATGCAAATGCCATGATGTACACTACCATTCAAATGTTTGGGGTCAGTAACATTTTTTCTTTCTATTTTTTTAAAGAAATTACTACTTTCATTCAGAGAGGTGCATTAAATTGATCAAAGGTTGACAGTAAAGACCTTTAAGTTACAAAATTTGAACTAGGGCTGTGAAACGATTAATCGCATCCAAAATAAAAGTTTGTGTTTCCATAATATGTGTGTGTGTAGTGTGTATAATTATTTGTAACATATAAAATACACACATATGCATGTATATATTTAAAAACAAATGTGTTATTAATATATCAAATATTTATATTTATGTATAATATTAATTTTGTATAAATATATATAAAGTATATGGATGCAAATATTTCTTAAATATATACAAGCATGTGTGTGTATTTATATGCACAAAATAATTACACACATATATTATGTAAACACAAACTTATATTTTGGATGCGATTAATCACGATTAATCGTTTCACAGCCCTAATATGAACAAAAAAAACCCTGTTCTTTTGAATCCTAAAAAAAAAATCTGTTTTCAACATTGATAATAATCATTAATGTTTGTTGAGCAGCAAATCATATTAGACTGATTTCTGAAGGATCATGTGACACTGAAGACTGGAAAATTCAGCTTTACATCACAGGAATAAATTACATTTGACATATATTCACATAGAAAATAGTTATTTTAAATTGTAATAATATTTCACAATATTACAGCATTTTTGATCAAATAAATGCAGCCTTGGTGAGCAGAAGAGACTTCTTTCAAAAAACATTTTTGAATGGTAGAAATATGATGGTAAAGAGAATTGGGTGAACTACTTTCATGCAAATAATGCCACAACAACAAATCATTTAAATGGACTTAAAAACAGACTATTTCTTTTTTCTTTCTCTTGATTTTGGAGTGAAATATAACCTGCCATGTGTATGCAATTGTCTTTGCAGGACGCAACTACCTCCTCTTTCATCTCACGCAACCTCTCGTTTTCACCTTTCAGCTCTTTCTTCTGCTTTTTTGCCTTTCGTCAGAGTCACCAGAACCATCGTGACTTATGAATGGATCTCGAGACCCGTTTATGGCGGTGGACATCTGGCAAACAAATAGGAAATCATATTACAGGCAGAAGAAATACAGTAGCAATACACAATCAATCACAGTATCATCAGAGTCCTGCAGCGATGAAAGCACACAAGTTGAAAGGGAGAGAAGACGACAACGAAAGAGAAGCCGGCGCGATGTGGCCGTTCGTTTCCTAATAGTGATCGTTCACCCAACATTTACCCACCCATATGACTTCCTTTTTCCCGAAGAACATAAAAGAAGAAATTTAGCAGAATGTCTGAGATGCTCTCTTCCATGCAGTGAAAAACCAACAGCCTCCAAAGCTTCAAAAAGGGAACAAGAAAAGCTCCATTTTGTGACAGAAAGTCATACGAAATCTGAATAAAAGTGAGCAAATGGGCGAACTTCCCACCTCTCTTTTCCCACCTTTATGCCCTTGTCCTTCTTGTTAAGCAAAGACAGCCTAGGAAGACTAAATAGTCATCCTGCAATCTCAGCATGACAAGAACATTTTGAGAGGGATAAGTGTAAAGCGACTGTCTTAATATGTGCATCGTTGAGAGGTGCTCATGCTACAGTAGTTGTCATGTCATGAAACATGAAAGACTCCCACTCAGAATGCCTTTTTTCACAGTTTCTCGTGGATCTGTAGTGTAATGAGTTGTATAAATGGCTGTTTCGAGTCACACGTGTGTATTAGCTGTGTGTTGTATGTGTGAGTGCTAGCGTGTGTGCGCTACAGGCCTGCTCTGCTAGCTCTGAGGTTGCGGGATGATGCTGGAGCAGTCGGTCACGAGGAGATCCACCACCGTGTTTCCGCTCACAAACATCGTGGGTGCCGAGACCATGTTGCACAGGGTGACGGTGCTCCCCGGCACCGCATCACTGGTGGTGGTGGTGGTGGTGGTGATGGGGGTGGAGTCGCTCACGGGGGAGTTGTGGGTACCCATGTGGCCCTGCAGCTGTGTGGGGGTCTTGCAGTGCACACCGCAGAGCTGACAGACCAGGACGCCTCCAGAGCCTGAGGTGCCGAAGCCTCCTCCGCTCTCCTTCCACTCCTGACCGTGGTGCTTCTGAGCGTGAACCCGCAGGTACGTCAGCGTGGTGAAACCTGACGGGGCAAACGTTTGAGAGGTCAAGCGACACTGCTGTATTTCATTAGCTGATGACTGTGATTGCCTCATTATAACTCGTTAATTATAATGACAACAGACAAGCTGATGTCATTGTTTGTTCTGCAATTAGTGAGGTTAAAATACAATGTTGTAACAAACTGAGCATGAAACTACAAACACTTCACTCTTAGACAGAGAGATAGATAGATAGATACAGACAGACAGACAGATACAGACAGACAGACAGACAGATAGATAGATAGATAGATAGATACAGACAGACAGATGAACAGATACAGACAGATAGATAGATAGACAGACAGACAGACAGATAGACAGATAGATAGACAGACAGACAGACAGACAGACAGACAGATAGATAGATAGACAGACAGACAGACAGACAGACAGACAGACAGACAGACAGACAGACAGATAGATAGATAGATAGATAGATAGATAGATAGATAGATAGATAGATAGATAGATAGATAGATAGATAGATAGATGAACAGATACAGACAGATAGATAGATAGAAAGACAGATAGACAGACAGACAGACAGATAGATAGATAGACAGACAGACAGACAGATACAGACAGATAGATATATAGACAGACAGACAGACAGACAGATAGATACAGACAGACAGATGAACAGATACAGACAGATAGATAGATAGACAGACAGACAGACAGACAGACAGACAGATATATAGATAGATAGACAGACAGTCACAGACAGATAGAGAGACAGACAGACAGTCACAGACAGATAGACAGACAGATACAGAGACAGATATAGACAGACAAAAAGACAGACAGACAGAGACAGACAGACAGACAGACAGACAGACAGACAGACAGATACAGAGACAGATATAGACTGTAGGTGAATGTGTGTGAATGTGTGACCTCAGTGTGTCTCCCTAATGTCCACCACAGTGACCCTCAGTAATGTGTGTATGTGTGTATATATATGTTAAAACACTGTGGTATCAAACGTTCATAGAATTTATAATCTGTTACACTGTTATTTTTTGCAATTAATTTAATTTGTACATTTCAATTTAAGTTGTTATAATACTTTGTTTTTTATTGATGTCTTCACTATGCTATGTGTTACAAGCTTTGGCAATATTGTAATATGTACAGTCATGCCAATAAAGCAATTTGAATTGAATTGAATTGAATATAGACAGACAGATAGATAGACAGACACAGTCACAGACAGATAGACAGACAGATACAGAGACAGATATAGACAGACAGATAGATAGACAGACACAGTCACAGACAGACAGAAAGATAGACAGACAGATACAGAGACAGATAGACAGACAAAAAGATATACAGACAAATAGACAGACAGACAGAAAGATAGACAGACAGATAGACAGACAGGCAGACAGATACAGAGACAGATATAGACAGACAGATAGATAGACAGACACAGAGACAGATATAGAGACAGATATAGACAGATATAGACAGATAGACAGACAGACAGACAGACAGACAGAAAGATAGAGAGACAGACAGACAGACAGACAGACAGACAGATAGATAGATAGACAGATAGATAGATAGATAGATAGATAGATAGATAGATAGATAGATAGATAGATAGATAGATAGATAGATAGATAGATAGATAGATAGATAGATAGATAGATAGATAGACAGGCAGAGAGACGGATACTCACTGCGGTTGCAGAGGTGGCAGGAGTGATGCTGTGATTGGTTGTGCACCCTCATGTGATCCGTGATGTAGGCCGCAGACAGCAGTTTGCCACAGATGTGACACGGAACCTTCTCTTCATGTCTGATCATGTGAGCGCGCAGTCTGTCCCGTGTGGCAAAGCTCGATTCACAGGTCTGCAGCATTTCGAAAAAAAATACTCACACAAATAAGTAAAACAATATACCAAAATGTTTGTATACGTTTTTAGAAAATATTATCTTATATTATTATTAAAAAAAAAATATATATATATATATATATATATATATATATATATAAATTACTTCAATATTTACCTCGTATAAATGAAAACAATAACCATGTTCAACTAATAATCCTTTTACCTCAGCAATGCATTAAAATCAAGACAAGACTTTTTTTCAGTGTAAATTAAAAACGGCAACAGAACACAAAACAAACTTCCATACCGGACATTTGAAGGGTCGTTCTGAAGAATGCACCTGTCTGACGTGACTGTTGAGATGATCAGGCCTGTGAGAATGAGTGAGAAACATTTCATTCACAGTCAAATGTTTTTGTAGAAGCTAAAAGCTCGAAGCATAATCTAATGACATTTTCAGAACAGCAGGCTGTTTGCTTAGTCCCGAATATGATTGGGTATCGTTTGAATTTTAAAGTTTCCAAATCTGAACCACAACTAATCTAGCATTTCGAGATTAAAGTCGAAACATTGAAGACGAAAAAGACGCGAAACAGAACAAAGTTCAGTATCACACTCCACATTATTTTCGATTCCCAACCCTAGTTTTGTAACAGGTATTAAAATGTCCAATCGGCTTTATGCACAGCTGCACTACTTCCTGAACTTCAGCCAGCTCCTTGTTTCCTGTCTGCCATTTTTGGACGAACTTGATTAATTTAGGTGTGCCTGATTATTGTTGTTGTGACTACTGAGGTCAGGCACACCTGGATTATTCAGTTTGTCCAATAATGGCAGACAGGAAACAAGGAGCTGGCTGAAGTTAAGGAAGTAGTGGAGCTGTGCATAAAGCCAATTCGCTTTCACAAGGCAACACTTCAAGGTCAAGTTTGAGTAAAATGCCCTCTCGTTGGTCAGACTGCACCTTAAACACAACATCAGAGGCGTGTCCTACCGTGAGAAAGCTTTAGCACAGTGCGGGCACACGTAGGGCTTCTCCACGCCTCCCTGGTGGGATCTGACATGATGGCTCATGCGGTCCTTCCGCTTGAAGCGCTGCTGGCAGATCGGGCAGGAAAATGGCTTCTCGTCCGAGTGGGAGAGCCTGTGTCTGTTCAGGTGGTACACATCCCTGAAGGCTTTACCACAGGTCTCACACGCGTGGTTTTTACGCACAGGGTTGGGGTTCTGGTTTACTTGCCTCTGAGGATAGAGTACGGAAATGACAAGATCATTCAACTGTCTGAAGTAGAACTGCACAGCTAGAAAATCAAAATGGTCCACCTGTCAAATCACGCAGGCTGCGATTTAATCAGATAAAAGTATGTGCTACAAGAGAAGCACGTAATATAAATGCGTCTCAGACTGACTCAGCTCATTTACTGTGAATCGAGCAGTTAAGACAAACTATCATGAAAGTGATATGGGTAAGTTCTCTCTTCAAACTTCAAAAAAAGGAGTAGTTCACTTTAAAAAAAAAAAAACTTTTGCTGATAATTTACTCACCCCCATGTCATCCAAGATGTCCTCGTCTTTCATTCTTCAGTCGAAAAGAAATCAAGGTTTGATGAAACCATTCCAGGATTTTTCTCCATATAATGGACTTAAATGGGAACCAAACGGTTCAAGGTCCAAAAGACAGTTTCAGTGCAGCTTCAAAGGGCTTTAAACGACACCAGACAAAGAATAAGGGTCTTATCAAGCGAAACGAACGCTCATTTAAAAAAATATATAAAAAAAGTTTAAGTTTAAGCTCAAATGCTCGCCTTGCTCTGTTCTGTGTGACTCTCCTGTTCGAACTCGTTCATGAAAATGAACAAATCTTTTTTCGAATCATTTGGTTCATTCAACGAACGAAATGAACGAGTTGACTCGGAAAAAGAGTCGTTCATTTTGATGAATGAGATCGAATAGGAGAGTCACGAACACGCATCACAGAACAGAGCAAGGCGAGCATTTGAGCTTATAAAACTTAAACTTTGTTATTTATTTATAAAATGAGCGATCATTTCGCTTGATAAGACCCTTATTCATCGTCTGAAATCGTTTAAAGCCCTTTGAACAGTTTGTAGTTTGCACTGAAACTGTCTTTTGGACCTTGAACCGTTTGCTTCCCAGTAAAGTCCATTATATGGAGAAAAATCCTGGAATGTTTTCATCAAAAACCTTAATTTCTTTTCAACTGAAGAAAGAAAGACATGGACATCTTGGATGACATGGGGGTGAGTAAATTATCAGCAAAAGTGTTTTTTAAAGTGAACTACTTCTTTAAGTTTAATAGATTATCCATGCATCTTTTTTTGCATGTTAAAATATAAGTATCAAATATGATCCATCAGGCTTTTGAGGCTCATTTATTTGATCTCTCAATCATCACTGTATTGTATTAAATGTTTTGCCCCACAATAATTATTAGTAAGATGATATTTTTATGATCAAATCTCTTATTCAGAGGATATAAAGTGGCAACTGATATTGATATGCTTTTATGCGAGTAGTCTGCTATACTGTTACTACCGGAACACGTCCCATAAATCCTGATGTACTTGGTACATCAAAAGAAGGATGTCTTCTACGCTAATATTAGTTTCTCTGTTTATCCCGAGGGACCCTCTATGGTGGACCTGCGCCTGGACCCATCCCGACTCGTCTTTAACTGCCGGCCTCATCGACACGATTGATCCTCAACATCTCGTCTCCAAACCAGCGTGATTACTTCGACTTACAGACAGACGGAAATGAACAAATTCTCTTAATGTTTCGATCCAATTTGTTTTGTAATCACTGTTCCTTCATTGGCCAGAGGAGAACTGTCCCCATGACTGAGCCTGGGTTCATCCCAAGGTTTTTTTCTCCTTTCAATCGCCTGATGGAGTTTTGGTTCCTTGCCACTGTTGCCCTGCTTAGTTGGGGACATTTAATGTTCAACAATATTACTGATCTGTGTTGTATTATTTTCATGTTATCACTGTGAAACTGCTTTGATACAATATGTATTGTAAAAAGCGCTATATAAATAAAGGTGACTTGACCCGACTACTAAGATCTCACTGGTTTACAATACAAGCTATCATATCACATCAGCCACATAGATATCAGCATCTGCACAAATGGGCTTTATGCACAGCTGCACTACTTCCTGAACTTAAGCCAGCTCCTTGTTTCCTGTCTGCCATTATTGGCCGCATTGGCCGTTTCTCAATATGCGTTCTTGTCTGTACTTGTGTTCTTGTGGACATCAGTCACTGACTCACTGCCCAAGTACTGTTCCAATTCAAAGTTCACATCTAGCCAAGTCCACTTCAAATCCACGGATGTGTTCTTGATCCGCCCCGTTTACCGAGGATGCATCGAGAGGTGACTTGTGCGGACTTGAGATAGCCAGGTATCCCAGAATGCATCTCGCGTCATCCAGCAAGCGTCAATGGGAGAGAAGAAAATCCGCGAAATATCAAAATACTACTGTTTTTGTGTCATGAAATGTAATTTTAAGAGCGTTTCAGGCGAGAATGTGGTTGTTTAAATCTCAAATCTGTGGTTTATTTATAAAGATAGCACCTATTTCAAAAATGTATCTGATGTTTTCGGAGTTCGAGCCTTCACCGGCGCCCAGCGCTCATCAACCCCGACTGGAACAGCTTTTCCTCGGCTAGTGCTTCTGACGTTTGCCGCTGGCACAGATGTCTCGTCTAGTGGAAAAACTTGACGTATTTGTCTTGTGTAAAAGTCTATCTTTGCTCTCGTCTCATTTAACTAGTTTGTTCCATGGCAAAACATTTTTTTCAAAATTATAAATAAATATTTTTATTTATTTATTTCATTTTTTTTTACATGATCTGCACTATATGAACAATAAAATAAAATGAACTCTGTCTGTTAAATATCAATAATGTTTCATTTTAAAATGAAAACAAAAAGATGTTGTTCATTTTGTTATTAATATATGGAGTGAAGATAATCACACGCATGAACCACATGGCCAAATATGTTTAAGTGGTTTTAAAGAGGCAAAGTGGTGTTTCATAGCAAATTTCGTTTTATTTTTGACGAAAAGAGGCAGAGTTGTAGCATATTTCGTTTTATTGTTGCCTAAAATATAGATAAATATATAACCGGAGTAGCCAGAGCGTGCTGATCAAGTACGCTTTGTTCCATTTGCAGAAGAACCGAACTTGCGTCCTCTCGAGTTCGTTCTCCTGAATCATTCTTGGCAAGTCTGAACTACCAAGGACGCAAGTCCGAACTTTGCGTACTTGGTATTGAGAAACGGCTATTGATTAATTCAGGTGTGCTTGACCTCATTAGTCACGGCAACAATAATCAAACGCACCTGATTTAATCAAGTTCGGCCAATAATGGCAGACAGGAAACAAGGAGCTGGATGAAGTTCAGGAAGTAGTGCAGCTGTGCATAAAGCCTTATTTTGCTTATTTTTGCTCTGTTTGAGCCTCTGAATCAAATTGAGGTGTTTTTCCTCCTCTAGTGTGAGCTCCATATTCAAGATATGAGCCATAAAAGCTTGAAGTATCAAATATCACTAAACAACAAACAAACAACTCGTGTTTTTCTTATGTACAGTATCGAACCACACAGACACACAGTCAGTGTAGTTACTGGTTTGTTTAGTGTTGTTTTTTCCACCTTGTGTATACAACCAGCAAACATGAACAGTAATATAATACTGGCTATGTCAGAAATTAATTCTCATCACTGCTGATTTCATGAGTGATATACAGTACACAGTGCAGCGCTTCACTCTGAAACCGACAGCTGGCAACCAAATAAATAAGAGTAAAAATGAAGACTTTAAAATAAAATTACTTTTAACACTTATTTTTTTTATTCCACAGTACAATAGTGTCTTTACAATATATTTCTTTGTTTAATATTTGTATTTAATGATTACAAAGAAACGGCAAGTAACACATAATATACTTTACCTCTAAATTATCAACATCATAATTTAGCTAAAAAAAAATATGTTGCACAATCTACTACATGCTTTCTGTTTGATTGATGGGTCATACTATTGTACTGTAACATAAAAATGTAAGTATTAAAAGTAATTTTATTTTACTGTAATATTACGGTACCAAAATTGGTAGCGCTTCCTTTTACAGTACAGTACTTACCTGGAAAGTACTGGCTAATATAAGGTAAGTACATGGGTATGGGGTAAGTTCAGGGTTAGAACCTAGTTATAATAAGTACATAGTATGTACATGTGTAACAGGAAGTGTTACCCCAATATCTTAATTTTTACATTTTTACAAACAGTAACCAATCTAACTTTTATTTCGACTGCTCAGAAATACCGTATTCAGACTGCAGAGTGTACTGTAAATCACTAACATACAAACAACAGCGTGACATTTTATTACGCAAAATACAATTCATTTTAAAAAATTCTCTTTTTCAGTAATTAAGATGTTACCTAAAAAAAATTACAGAATAACAGATTTATTCGATAATATTCAAAACTTTTTTGCCTTAAAGGCAAAAATAAATCAAGAAATATATCAAATGCTACAAATCAAAAGAGAAGTCAACAAAGCATATTTATGTTTATATGTCAGCTACCAAGCTTTTGAATTTTTATAATTTAATTATTATATTTACTAGTGTGCAGATAACTCCAATACGAATCTGATCTTAATAAAACTTTGTTTTCCCTGACCATGGGAATTATTAAAAAAAAAAACAGTCTGCAAAGGTTTGTGCGACCTAAGTATATCCAAGGCTTTACATACGAAAAAACAACTGTATATTAAATATTTAATGTACGCCACTGAATGCAGTATCTGAGAACACACACACATACACACACGTATGCTCACCTGTACAGGCTCCCCTGTTGTCATGACAACAGCAGCTGGAGGAGGGAGGGCGGTCACAGTGGAAGCCATGCTCTCCATGGTAACATTGTTTCCATCTTGAGTGACCAGGATTTGTGTGTGGGGAAGGGGCAGCACGGCATTAGGGGGCAGCGCTTGGGTTTGCTGTTGGGGTATGGAGAGGTGAAGGAGAGAGAGGGGGACTGTGTGTCTTTCTGCACTCTCTTTGGCCACAGTCTCCTGGCTCTGGGAGCCTCCCTTCATGCGGATGCCGGTGTGGACGGACTGATGACGCCGCAGGTTGTAGCTGTTCTTGAACTGCTTGCTGCAAATTGAGCAGATATGAGCCGCACGGGCCGTCCTGGAGACTGGCTTCACTGATGGGATGGAAAGTAAAAAAAAAAAGAGTGTTACTAATCAGTAATAAGACATATTATTAGTAAGTACAGCTCACACAGAACAAGCAGCAAATTAGTGTGACCAACTCGAACCAATTGCGAAATCTGCATGTGGAAACATTTCACCCTCATGAGAAATTCCTGATTGCACGGATTCCTACGGAAATAACTGGACGTACAATGGTAAATGTTTACAGACACTTTTTTTGACCTATGACTTTAGAGCTTTAGTTCATTATCAAATGTCAATAGTGTAGAGAAGTATGAAGCACAGAACTTTTTGACCTACGAATTTGCGTGTACAACTTGCTTGGTGAAATCTTTCCCAGGCGGATTGGATCCCTATTTAAATGACTGGGTTTTGCCTGCAAAAATTGCTTCATTAACAAACCAAGTAGCTTTCTGTTGGTCCATGCGCCAATTTTGCAAGATCAACTTGAACAGTTGTTAAATCTACATGGGGAAATCTTTTAACCTCATGCCGAATTCTCAATTGAGCGGATTCCTACTGAAATGACTGGATTTTGCCTGGGAAAATTCATTGAACAAACATTATATGTGACCAAACCTTTACAGACACTCTTTTTGACCTATGACTTTCCAAGAATTTGGGCAAAATTTAAATAAGTAGTTCACTTTAAAAAAACTTTTGCTGGTATTTTACTCACCCCCATGTCATCCAAGATGTCCATGTCTTTGTTTCTTCAGTTGAAAAGAAATTAAGGTTTTTTGATGGAAATATTCCAGGATTTTTCTTCATATAATGGACTTCAATGGGAACAGTGGGACAGTTTCAGTGCAAACTGTTCAAAGGGCTTTAAACGATTCCAGATGATTAATAAAGGGTCTTATCAAGCGAAACGATCACTCATTAAAAAAAAAATTAAAGTTTAAGTTTTATAAGCTCAAATGGTATCCTTGCTCTGTTCTGTGATGCACGTTCGTGACTTTTCCGTTCAAACTCGTTTATAAAAATGAACAAACCTTTTTTCGTGTCATTTGTGTCATTCAATGAATGAGTTGACTAGGGAAAAGATTCGTTCATGTTGATGAACGAGTTTGAATAGGAGTCACGAACGCGCATCACAGAACAGAGCAAGGTTACCATTTGAGCTTATAAAACTTAAGTTAAACTTTGTCATTTTTTTTTTTTAAATGAGCGATCGTTTCGCTTGATAAGACCCTTATTCATCATCTGGAATCGTTTAAAGCCCTTTGAACAGTTTGTAGTTTGCACTGAAACGGTCTTTTGGACCTTGAACCGTTTGGTTCTCATTGAAGTCCATTATATGGAGAAAAATCCTGGAATGTTTTCATCAAAAACCTTAATTTCTTTTCGACTGAAGAAAGAAAGACATGGACATCTTGGATGACATAGGGGTGAGTAAATTATCAGCAATAGTTTTTTTTAAAAGTGAACTACTCCTTTAATTCCCGCCCTTTTGTTTTTCAATTTCTAACTAATCCTCTCAAAACAACTCATTACTGCATTCTAAAAATTGCTGGGTTGTTTTAACCCAACTTTGGGTAAAATTTGGACATCTTGGATGACATGGGGGTGAGAAAATTATCAGCAAAAGCTTTTTTTTAAAGTGAACTACTCCTTTAACAGGCAAAAAAGATCTATTGTTGATATTGTAGTGATATAAAAAGCACACCCTGAAATTCCTGATTTGACACACTTTTTGACTTGCGACTACAGGGCAAAAAAGGTCCATTATATATTGGCAAAAGTAATAATCTATGAAGCACAGAACTTTTTGACTTTCCAAAAACTTTGGGAAAATTTTGCAGGCAGAAATGTCTAGTGTTGATAGTGTAGTGATGTATTAAGCACAACTCTCAAAGACAGTCAGTTTAAAAAAAAAAAAAAAGCAGATTTTTGCTGGTTAAAGCGGCAAATTCATTGCGATATCTGCATGCGGAAATATTTTATCCTCATGAGAAATTTCTTTTTGCACGGATTCCTACTGAAATGACTGGATTTTGCCAGCGAAACATTTGAAGTGGATCACAAAAGTTATCTTAAGACAAGAATGGGTATTGCTCAAAATGTAAAAAGGTTTTGATCCACTACTGTGTGTGTATACATATATATGACCACACCTTTACAAATACACCCTTTGACCAACGACTTTCCAAGAATCAATTCATTCCTCTATACCAATTTCCATCAGTTTCCCCTCATTTCCAAGTTTTTAATGGCCGCGTTCCCATTTCTAGAGGTAGGATCCTAAAAATGTAGGGCCTTCGGTGAAGATAACACGACTATATTCCAGACAGCCGTTCTTCTGCTCTGCTCTATGTGACCGCAGAGGAACTGAGCAACCACAGAAAACCTCCAACCCCTCCCACCCAGCTTCCTCACTCTTCTCCAATCCTCCCTCCCTCTCACCCACCAGGTACAGGGTCCTCATTGAGAGCAGCAGTGTCCACTGTCGATGGAGGCGGAGCTATGTGCTCGTTGGGCGGGGTTTCAGGCGAGGTCGTGTGGACCGGCAGAAGTTCTGATTGGAGGGTCCCCTCCACTTGGGTCTGGGAAGGTGTGGTCTGGTAAAGAACAATCACAAAGTACTAAGTTTGAATTTAAAACTTCAGTGTAGGTAGGTAATAGGTATCACTGAAGCGAAGCGAACCTCCTCCCAATTTTAATGGAGTAATGTGGTTACAACTTTGTAATAGCATGAATTTCACATCAATTTACATTTATTTGTACACACACACACACAAACCGTTAAATCTCACCTGGAAGAGAAAATTGCTCCACGCGGCATCCATTTTGTTCCACAGCGAAGAATATTATAATGAACTACACAATCATCAAGATTAATAGCGCACAACTGACATCCTTTCAATCGTTTGTAGTTTGCAAATAGTGCTTTTAAAACTAACGTTACACCCCCAATTACATATTTAATTAACAGGCAATGATGCACACTATTTAATGTTTAATTTGCTCCTATCCAAGTTTAATCCGAGGCATTACAACAACGTGCTATTTATTCACTGGCATGACTTAAAATCCGAACCAATAATGTTATTCCTACACTCTTACAACATGCATTAAAAACAGCAGTTGAAGCATTTAGACGTTAAAACAACGGTTATACGTCATGCGCTTGACGCATTTTAAACAATCAAACTTAAAGGTTGCTATGTATAAATCAGTGTTTTTTTCCTCGATCCCCCCGACAGGCCAATCGGGTGTTTGTCGAAGCCTCGCTGTAGGATTCAAGCCGTGACCCGGACGAATAACACTCGAGCCCGGCCGCAGCCCGCCGCTCCACCTCGGCGCTTCAATTCACAGGATGTCATCTTTCTTTTTTTATCGCGCGCACTCTCTCTCTCTCTCTCCCTCCCACCCCTGTCTCTTTCTTCCTTTTCTTTTTTAATTCCTCTTTCTTCTACCCCCTCCTCTCCTTTTCCTCTCTCCGCTATGTCCCAGTTGTTCTTAAAGGGATGGATGGCTCTCTCCCCCTCCTATTTCCGTCGCCTTCCTCCTTCCTCTCAGAAAATGAGCCGAGAGAAATACAGTAAAAGCATCGCGCTGTTGACGTCACATGACTACAGTCTGTTGACCGAGACAAAATGACCTCTAGAAATGATGAATCTGCACTGCGTTCATTTGTATAAAAAACTAAATTGTGAACACTTTATATGATTATTTGCTTAGTTTTTTTTTCATTGTTGGTTAAATATACAGTTTGTTTTGTATAACCTTACGAACCCAAAGAGGATGTGTGTAGCTATTAATATACTGTTACAAGCCGAATTCCATATACATTTTTCCACGAATAGGTTACATCATTTTATTTAGTTATAAGATCGTAAGTTACTTCGAATGAATGAATGAAAACGCAGTAAGCTCGAGCGCGTCTTAAAGGGCACGTCTCGATGACGTAGAGGATTTTTCACAGATTTGCTATCGATGCCAGACATCAATGTCGATTAGATGTATGTAAATGTAAAACCTCCACAGAATTTAGGAGTGATTGTATTTACCTATACTGAACATGGATAAAATGTGTAATGGATAAAATAAAAACGAGACAAATCCACGTTAATATCAATTTATTGTCATTTAAATTGTTTCGCGTTTCTTTTTCTTCCACGTGTTTTCTCCCTTCAAGCCAGAAATGGCTTGATTTCAGAAATGAATTTTTCAAGAAATGTCCTCTCAGAAAAACCTCCACTTTGACCCAACTGTTTCACAGCCAACACATACATACACAGATGATAGACAGATAGCCTATCTCTACAATTCACCCCAGACTAACTAGGAGAGCCTCCTTTACCACCATACATGGATCCAGACTAGTTTGACCTGTCCGTGGACTAACATTCAACATTATATTGGGATCGCGGTCCTAAGATCATGAAGTAACATCACACCATATCTCACAAACAAGTCAGTCCATTCAATGGTACAATCTCATTGGCCCTCCAAACACTATATCTGACATCCTCAATACATTAGAAGTTCTGCATGCACTGTTTTACTTTAAACCAAGCATAAAGTAGTAGGTTATACAGAGATATCAGAGCTGGTGTTTCTCGTTTGATTTTGGAGTTCATCAAGTTCCACTTGTGGTGTTCTTGGATATCTCTGAATGCATCAGTGAAAACACAGCCTTGGCGATGCACAGCTGAGTATCTGTTGAATGCTCAAATGCTCTCTTCATTGTCAAACACACTTTGCAGTATCCCACACGTCCCAAGAACAGAGAACACTGCAACACATTTTTTATACTCACACAAGCACACACACACACTCAGCTTAAATCTAGACAGAAACACAGCTATAGCAGCCGCGACATTCTCCCAAAAGTTCTTCACATCTTCATTTTAATAAAGCGTCTTCCATCCTATGACGACTTACTGCACCTGCCTGTCTCTGGAGAGTTTCAATAAATGCACCCAACCTCTCAACATTCAAAATAATACACAATGATTCAGCTCTTTCCAAAAGATTAGTGATTGTAACTCGTTGTAATTGAATCAAGTCTGTTTTTATTGTCTAGGATATGAATTAAAGGATGCTTACCCAAGTGAATAAGCCAGATTTTCCTTTAAATCATTTTTTTTTTTTTTTTTTTTTTTTGGTGTGTTTGTGTACAAAAGCGGCCATTTTACCAGACCGCATCCCACTCAGCGAAAGCATACACTCAAAATGACTATAAACCATTGTTAACACACTAGACCAGATTAAGCACATTTTCTTGCTTTTAAAAAGTACAACCAGAGGCTTTGAGAAATTTTTAAAATGTTGTCATGATGACATCAAACATGATATTATGAGTTACGCCATCCACTCCAGATCCAATTTCTACAATTAAATGTTAGGTCTATTCTGTTCATATGTTATTTTATAAAAATGGCAATAGTCATAATTACTATAGAAAACTGTGGACACAATGCTTCAACATTTTAGATACTATATTTATATATATATATATATATTTATATATACACACATACATTAAAATATCCAATTGGTGGGAGAATTACTCTGCATCCAAAATTGCATTCACCCCTTGTCCTTTTGAATAAGTAACTTCACAACCATTAAAACATTTATGAATGTAACCCGGAACTACTAAATTTGTCATGTGACCTACCAGCATCACTTGCGTCCGTTCACTGCCATTCCCAAATCCTCTCCCGTGGCCTCATGGGATAGTAAAGCGTCCACAATCTCGCCGTGTGCAGTTTTATGAATACTGTGAATTCGGACATACTACTAAGGCCACGTTCTGTTTTTCACCTAATATGTTAAGGAAGTATGCAATTTTGGATGCAGCCAATTTTGCAAAGGTAGGTGCGGTCACATTTACCGTTGCAAGACGAAATCTCACAGGCGAAAATCCAGTCGTTCTAATAGGAATCTGCGCATTAAGGAGGAGTTTCGCATAAAGCAAAAAAAGAGTAAGGCGACAAAGTTCCACACGTAGTGCTGACCAACAGAAAGCTGCTTAGTTTGAAAGGGACTTCTGTGTGAGCAGTGCTTCATACATCGTAACGCTATCGATAAAAGACATCAACCCTTTTTTTACCCGTGAAATTTCCCCCGAAACTTCGCTAACGTGACCGCACCTTTACATCTCAAATGTGACTGGATAACATATGAATACAAATGTATTTACTACATTAATCTCATGCATTGGAGCAACTCCCATAGATGTAAATGTATTCATAAAGTCTGACTGACATAGAACTTTATAAACATTCGGTGTTCATACTGTAGTGTGTGTGCATGTACAAATTCTCCCCATCACACTAAAGAAGTCGCGCAACATCCCTTTAAGATGTCTAGAAGGCAGTGGTGATTTTCCAAGCCAGTTTCCCCTTCTTTTTTTTTTTACAAAAAACCCCCCAAAACAACAACGAGCTGGGAAAACAAAAGCAATAGGACAAGTAAAATGTGCTCTCACTCATATTGTAATGGCTTGAAGGAACTAAACAAAGCAAGCCCGACCTCCTTACTCCGTTCTCTTAAGAGTAGGAGAGGTGGGAACCGTTGGAGATGTGCGAGGTGACCGAGGTACTACGGCTGAGGACTCCCTCTCCACCACCAGACCCTCCTGGGCCGCCGCCAGATGCGGTTCTGCGCAGGGGCTGCGGGCTGTTCCTCAACGCCATCAGGTTGGGACCCCGAACAACCAGCCCTCCACCACCTCCTCCTCCGTAGACTCCTTGAGAAACCGAGGACGACTGGGCGGACGAGGACGACAGTGTGATGGAAGGTGGAGCGGGAGGAGGAGGAGGGAGGAGAGCGAGGGACTGGGAGGAGGAGCGGGAGGGAAGGTGGTGGGAGAAGACGTGGGGGTGTGCGAGGTCCCCCCTGCTCCCTCCGCCCCACTCCTTCTCTTTCTCCCGCTCCCTCTCTCTATCCCTCTCTCTCTCCCTGTACAGCTGTGGCGTGCTCTGGTGATGGTAGTGCTGGGGAAGGTGGTGCCGGTTGTGATGGGAGGACGAGGAGGAGGACGAAGATGATGACGAGGACCGGGACGAGTGGTGCATGGGCCCGTCTCGCGGTAATCCCAAGGCGTGGGAGGCGGACGATGAGGAAGAGGATTCGGCCCGGCTCGGGCCCCTGCGGGAGTGGGGATGCGGCGCCCCGCCGTGACTCCAGTGGCCGGATGGGCGGGGGGTCTGGCTAGACGGGTAGCCCTGTTTGGGATGAGCCTCGGAGGGGATGCCCGTCAACGCCAGGCTACTGAATCCCAAGCGGAGGCTCTCAGAGTCGAAGGCCTCGATTTCGGACGCCTGGCGTTCCAGGAGGGAACGGATGCGCTCCGAACGCTCGTTCTGCAGGGCCAGCATCTCCTCCTCGATCTGGAGAAAGAGATCCATGGATGTCAGAATTGCACTTGTACAAGAGTGGTCCTCAACTGGCGGGTCATGACTAGGGGCTGGACCCTTTTTACTGGGGAAAATACTGTTCCCAAGTAAAACATTACGGATGAATCAATGTCTGATGATGGAGATAACCATATACCAACCTGATAATCATTTTAAGTCATTGTACATCCTAAAAATCATGGAAAAGGATATTGCATATGGCCCTCTTTCGAATAACTTGTTTTACTTCGAAAGAGTGTCATGGTCACACCCTAGACTCAAAACCTAGACTATAGAGCACCATGACTGGACACTTCTGCTTAAAATGGGCTCTCTTGGACTTTTTTTTTGAAGGACATTGCATATGGCCTTCTATCGAATAACTTGTTTTACTTCGAAAGAGTGTCATAGTCACACTAGACTATAGAGCACCTTGACTGGACACTACTACTTAAAATGCGCTCTCTTGGACTTTTTTTGAAGGACATTGCATATGGCCCTCTTTGAATGACTTGTTTACTTTGAAAGAGTATCATGGTCACACCCTAGACTCAAACCTTAGACTATAGAGCACCTTGACTGGACACTACTGCTTAAAATGGGCTCTCTTGGACTTTTTTTTGAAGGACATTGCATATGGCCCTCTTTCATATTACTTGTTTTACTTCGAAAGAATGTCATGGTCACACCCTTGACTCAAACCCTAGACTATAGAGCACCTTGACTGGACACTACTACTTAAAATGCCCTCTCTTGGACTTTTTTGAAGGACATTGCATATGGCCCTCTTTCGAATTACTTGTTTTACTTCAAAAGAGTATCATGGTCACACCCTAGACTCAAACCCTAGACTATAGAGTACCTTGACTGGACACTTCTGCTTAAAATGGGCTCTGTTGGACTTTTTTTGAAGGACATTGCATATGGCCCTCTTTCGAATGACTTGTTTTTCTTCGAAAGAGTGTCATGGTCACACTAGACTATAGAGCACCTTGATTGGACACTACTACTTAAAATGCGCTCTCTTGGACTTTTTTTGAAGGACATTGCATATGGCCCTTTTTGAATGACTTGTTTACATTGAAAGAGTATCATGGTCACACCCTAGACTCAAACCTTAGACTATAGAGTACCTTGACTGGACACTTCAGCTTAAAATGCCCTCTCTTGGACTTTTTTGAAGGACATTGCATATGGCCCTCTTTCGAATTACTTGTTTTACTTCAAAAGAGTATCATGGTCACACCCTAGACTCAAACCCTAGACTATAGAGTACCTTGACTGGACACTTCTGCTTAAAATGGGCTCTCTTGGACTTTTTTTGAAGGACATTGCATATGGCCCTCTTTCGAATGACTTGTTTTTCTTCGAAAGAGTGTCATGGTCACACTAGACTAGACTATAGAGCACCTTGATTGGACACTACTACTTAAAATGCGCTCTCTTGGACTTTTTTTGAAGGACATTGCATATGGCCCTTTTTCGAATGACTTGTTTTACTTTGAAAGAGTATCATGGTCACACCCTAGACTCAAACCCTAGACCATAGAGCACCTTGCCTGGACGCTACTACTTAAAATGGGCTCTCTTGGACTTTTTTTGTTTTTTTGAAGGACATTCCTGTCATTGAGGGAAAGCACAAGTTTTCCTATTTTTAGGAGTCGTTTAAAAGTATGGTTGAGGGACACGCAAATATGTGAGCATGTTTAGTAATCAGTAGTCTACATATCTGATGTAAAATAGAGTTAGTGTTTTATAAAACTAAAGAGGATAGAATTATTAGTGTGAAATGGGTTGTGTAATAGGAGTTAGTATAGAATGGGTGGTGTAAAAGGGGTCAGAGTTCATTAATATGTATTGTTCTTTTTGTCTTTTTCTACAAATAAAATAAAATAAAACAAAACATTGCATATGGCCCTCTTTCGAATTACTTGTTTTACTTTGAAAGAGTGTCATGGTCACTCCCTAGACTCAAACCCTAGACTATAGAGCACCTTGACTGGACACTACAACTTAAAATGGGCTCTCTTGGACTTTTTTTGAAGGACATTGCATATGGCCCTCTTTCGATTGACTTGTTTTACTTCGAAAGAGTGTCATGGTCACTCCCTAGACTATAGAGCACCTTGACTGGACACTACTGCTTAAAATGCGCTCTCTTGGACTTTTTTTGAAGACATTGCATATTTTTTGTACAGTTTAGATACTGTTTAGTTGCGTAACCAGTTGAGAACCACTGCTTTACTTTCCATTTGTCTACCATCATGGCCAGGAATGAATGCAGTCAGCCTTTACCCTTTGTTCCAGCAGGGCTCTGCGGATGGACACTCTCTGCTCCAGGTCTTTAACCTCCCTCTCGTGCTGGGTGTCAGTGTGCATCTTGATTTTACTCTGGTACGCATTGAGCAGCTCCAACTCCTGCTGCAGCTGCATCCTCAGCACCTGATACTCGGCTTCCTGGGTCTCATCCAATCGCAGCTGGAGGGAAACGGCACAAAACGGCAAAGGTCAAAGAGGCAGGGGAAGCTCTGATGCTGGAGTGTGGCTGCTGGGATCAGATGTAGGGTGATGTACCTTACCATGCACAGTTTTGAGAGAATGTCACTGATGATGTAGGTTTGAGTGAGGGTTTGGTGGTCAGTGGGATGGGAATTGTGATTGATGTGTCCTTGCCTTACTCACAGCCTGTGTGGACAGCATGTCGTTGATTGAGTGGTCGTATTGCTCGGCCAGAATAGCCAGCTTACGCGTCTGCTCATCTTTGAGACGCTTCAGCACGGCCTTGTGGTCCGACTTCGGCGTGTTCTCCAGCAAGTGGTTCCTCAGAGCTTTAAACTGACGTGTTTGGATCTTACACGTGTCCTGGAACTGACGCTTAATCTGCAACTCTTTGGACTACAGGAACAGGGAAGAGGGTTGTAACAAGGTTCGACAACAGACAGATAAGAAAGAGTGGAACGGGAAGGACAGAAGCGTCACAGCACGAATGTGCCGTCATAAAACACTTTAAAACAATGTCTTTATTTTAATGTAGCATGACATTGTGGGACATGAAACGGCATAAATCATTTTGAGTAGAAATATCTCCAATTGAAATGATTTACTTTTCATTCAGGTTTTACCTAATAAAACATTTTAAACTTAGTTAAAGTTACAACTTAATAAGCTAATACCGTCCTCAATTAAACATAAGTGATGATCAGAATTCATTATAACTTAGACATTAAAGCAGCAGCATCAACGCTATATGAATGGAAAAACATAAAACTGAGATGATGATGAATAAGACAAAAAATACTTAAAATAATGTAAAATATAAAATGAACCAAAGGACAATGATTATAATAGAGAATTTATTTCAGCAACATATAACAGAAATCTTTGTTTAAACTTGAAGTAAACATCCATTCATGCACAAACACACAAAATGAGGATGAAATGCACACATAATGGCCTTGAAACAGACGGTGCAATGCAACATAAAATAACACAAACATTCATCAAATAATAATTAAGACATAATTTGAGATTTGGGGTTTTTTTTTAAGGGAGCATAGCATATGTAAACAATAAGCAACACAAAAAAATTGACAAGTTCAAAAACTGGAAAAAAAATATGGCTAAAACTGAAATGTATCCTTTTTTGCAAAGAAATGTAATTTTCTTAAAATATTTATATTGCATTTTCTCATTACTCATGTCTCATTTCCATTGCAGTAAACAAATGGTCCCTTTGATAATGTTAAGATTTCTATGAAGACTGAGTTTTTGCAGCGTGTTTCATTTATATATATATATTTTGATTTGAGCAGTGAAAGTTTTCATCAATCCAAAATCTATGTCACAACTCCGCTTTAATCTTTGGTTTTCAATTTGCATTCTTCTAGTCAAACCTTACATTAAGATGATTGTCAAATGGCTTCTTATAGTCTTTGATATGCAGTAATAGACTACTAATAAATATAAAATAACAGTGCCATGCAAACATTGAAAAACTAGGGCTAACCTATGAAAGTCTTGCATAAACGCTTCATCTAAACAGGCTAGACCTTTCTTCGTAAGGATATGTCCAAAACATTTGTTTACATGGTAAATATGATCAGATCATTGCCTCTAGTGCAATAACAATATATATTTCTCTAAACTCTGTATACGTATTCCCAAATTCAATGGTTTACAAACACATTTCCTCATACACTGTTGTGTAAAAAAACAATTTGGGTGCTAAACTACAAGTATATGAACTATGTGCCAAAAAACACATCAACCACCCACATATTTAGTAATACAAATGGAATCTAAATAAAATTGCATATCTCATATACTGAATTTATAATAGATCACCCACATCGAAGAGTAAATATTTTACTTAAAGTTAAGAGATTAATGTTTAAATGAGCATTAACATTCAATAAAGTTCACTGCTAAAGTGGCAGATCAGAACTAACAGCATTTAGGATTGCTCATCCATCTGATGGTGGAAACCCCCAGATTATGTGGCATATGATCGCCATATTCTTGAGGTCCTGCCTCTAAAACTTCCAGTGAGAGGACTTTCTTAATATTTTAGTGGCTTTTCGTTGTTCTGAAGCTTTTGAAATTACACAAAACACTGATTTTGCAGCAATATGCAGGCTAGTTTTCAATGTTTTACTATTTCAATACAAAACCTTTTATACACCAGGACTTCTTTGAAAAGTAGGAAAAATCGTTGGCGCTTTATTCAATAAACTTCTATTGCACTTTTGGAAGAATAAGCTTGTAGTGTTGCAATTTTGGGAGATCTATAGTGTAAAGCACAGTATTATAATCCGCTTTCACAGTAGACACAGTAAATTAATTTAGCATTTAACGTGCATGGCTTAATTGAAAGGCCTATGGTCATTTTCATTATGAGCCATTTTGGTTTTGGAATATAATACAATTTCAATGTAGAAATCAAGACCCCCCCCTTCAAAACAAAATTAAAAAACTAAATTAAGATTGCACAGACATGGCTTCAACAATAACCATAATAACACATATAGCTCTTGCTATTTGAAAATAAAATAACTTAAGAGTAAAAAATAAAACCCAGAAACTTTTACAAAAAGCACAATAATCAAATAAAGCTTTCCATTCACTGGCGACTGACCATGAATGATCGAGTTGTAAAACATCTGAAAGGGATAGTTCACCAAAAATAAATATTCTGCCATGATTTACTCACCCTCATGTGATAACAGAAATTAAGATATTCTTTCTCTCCCTCCAATGAAAGTCCAGGTAATACATTTTATGACACCTTTATAACCTTTTGGACCTTCTAAGTTTTGGTTACCTGGAATTTCAAAGACAGAAACCTCTAGTTTCATTAAAAAATGTTCAAGTAGTTCACTTTAAAAAAAAACTTTTGCTGATAATTTACTCACCCCCATGTCATCCAAGAAATCCCCGTCATTCTTTCTTCAGTCGAAAAGAAATTAAGGTTTTTGATGAAAACATTCCAGGATTTTCTCCATATAATGGACTTTAATGGGAACCAAACGATTCAAGGTCCAAAAGACAGTTTCAGTGCAAACTGTTCAAAGGGCTTTAAACGATTCCAAACGATGAATAAGGGTCTTATCAAGCGAAACGATCGCTCATTTAATAAATAAATAACCAAGTTTAAGTTTTATAAGCTCAAATGCTCGCCTTGCTCTGTTCTGGGATGCGCGTTTGTGACTCTCCTGTTCGAACACGTTCATCAAAAGGAACGAATCTTTTCCCGAGTCAACTCGTTCATTTCGCTCGATGAATGAACCAAATGACACGAAAAAGTTTCGTTCATTTTGATGAACGAGTTCGAACAGGAGAGTCACGAACGCGCATCACAGAACAGAGCAAGGCGAGCATTTGAGCTTATAACACTAACACTTTATTTATTTAAAAAAAAATGAGTGATCGTTTCGCTTGATAAGACCCTTATTCATCGTCTGGAATCATTCGTCAAGTCCTTTGAACAGTTTGCACTGACTGGTTCCCATTGAAGTCCATTATATGGAGAAAAATCCTGGAATGTTTTCATCAAAAACCTTGATTTCTTTTCGACTGAAGAAAGAAAGACTTGGACATCTTGGATGACATGGGGGTGAGTAAATTATCAGCAAAAGTTTTTTAAAAGTGAACTACTCCTTTAATTTTGCTTCAATGTTTAACATTTATGGGTTTGGAACAACATGAGGGTGAGTAAATTAGAGAATTTTTATTGTTGGCTGAACTATCCCTTTTTAACCGGGTACAAAAAAGGAGTGCGTGTAAGCAAACGGACAAAATAAATCAGCCATAAGATCGGAAAGTAAAATGATCAATGATGGATGATGGCGTGTGTGTGTGTGTGCTCACATACCTCCCTTCTTCCATCTCAATCTATCTCCAAGGCACTATCTTTCCTTTTAAAGTCCTCCCTGAGGCGGTTCTCCTCAACACACTCTCCCACCTCCCGTCTTCCCTGTACATCCTCTCTCTCTCCTCCCTTCTCCTCCTCTCCTTCTCTCGTCTCTCCCTCATCCTCCGCCTCTGTTCCCTCACTGCTCTAGGCAAGAGAATCGGCAGCTTGCTGGGTCTCTCCCGTCGCAGCAACCCGAAGGCCTGCATCCGTTTCAGGTAATTCTGGGGAAGTTCCTTCAGTACGCGCTTGGCTAAGCGCAACACCACGGAGTTAGCCAGGTCTGTCAACGTGCCGAGAGGTCGCCGGACAAACCGGCGTCCCAAAAGCAAGAACCGTGCCAACAGAACGGAGTGTTTGCTTTTGGCCTCATACTGTGCAAAAAGGCTATTTAAAGGCACAGGGATTCGGGACTGTCGCCCACCCCAGTTGCGTCCGGCTTTAGGGAACATGTCGTAGAGGCTGCGCTCGGTCAGGCCACCCAGAAGAGACTGGCACACAGTGAAAAGGGGCTTTGGCAGTCGAAAAAGAACTCGCATCCAGAGGCGATTGAGTTTGCGAGGAGTGTTTTGGAGGAAGACCCTGGCCGGCCGGATCACCAGGACCACCACGAGGTACAAAGTGAGGAAAAGCGAAGGCGAACTGAGAAAGGACGCAGAGATCAAGGCTACTGGGACGTAATAAAGTCCTAAGCTTAAAGACAAACCCAGACTGAACAAGCCTGAGCCCCAATACGTAAGTGAAAGGTATGTGGAAAATGAGAGCGAGCAGCAGGAGCGCAGGAATAGATAGGAAAAGAAGAGCGCCAGAAAGGCAAGCTCACCGGAGAGAAGGATAGAAGCGAGCGAAGGAAGAGGAGGGGAGCGGCGCAAAGATAGCAGGAAGACGGAAAGGAAAAGAATGGTGAAGACGGATGGCTGCATGGCAGCCGAGAGCGAAAGGACGAGGCAGATTGCGTGAGAAAAGAGCGAGGGAAGGGTAGGTTGGGAAGAGGGAGGAGTGTAGACGGGCGGAGGTTCCAGCTCTTCTAACGTATCCGGAAAGTAGAACTCAGAGAGTTCGTCTGCGTCACGCTCTAGTGGGCGGCGCTCAAAGGAAGGGGCGGGAATTAGCTCTGATGGACAGCCGTCGGCCACACCTCTATCCTCGTCCTCGCACTCTGACTCGCTAGCATCATCCCACAGGAGCCCTTCTACTTGTCTGGGATGGGCGTCAATCTTGCCCTCAACATATTGCTGTTCATCTAATGACGTTCCAGTTTGATCTTTTGCATTGTCAGCTGACGTTGCAGCATCCTCCACTTTTCCTTCAGTGTCTATCGTTTCACATTGGTCAGTAAATATCTCTTCAGTGTCATTTCCTTTAAGAAGTTTTACTTCCCTCTCGGCTCGCTCAGCTGTGTCTTCAACAGCTCCTACCGGCTGCCTCTCATCCCCATCTATCTTTTCTCCATCCCTCTTTCCTTCATCCTCTAGCTGTTCCTTTGGCTCCACCCCTTCATCTTCAAGCCCCTCCCTTTCAACATGCCCCTCCCCCTCCCCAAGAGGCCCCTCCCCTTCTGTATCCTCTGTAATGTCACAGTCACTCACTCTCAGACTCTTGGGTTGCTGCCGGACTTCGACGGCGTGCTTTTGCCGAAGCTCTTGTTCGCGTCGTTTATTGTACTCCATCTGGTTGGTGAGCTCGGTCTGGTGCTGCGTCCGGATCAGGTCGGCCCGTGTGCGCTGCACCAGACCCAGCTGCCGAAACTCCAGCTCCTGAGTCGACTCGTGATGGCGAAGCAACATGGCGCACTCTAGATCTTTCAAAGTCTGTTTCTTGTTCAGGTCCTACATTGAGACAAGCATATGGAGAGGAAGGAGGCAGAGATGGAGGATGGTGGTTAGAAAAGCATCAGGCAACCGTGGTCAGGCATAAACGAGCACATGGTTTTTAATTAGTGGTTTCCATTAGAAGGGTGTCTTTTAAGAGCTCCCTTTGGAAAATGTTGGCTGTGTGGAAGACATTATTTTGCAGTTGTAAACTCGCTGCTGTGTTAAACATCATTAACTAAAGCTAAAACTATATGAAAAAAAAAAAACATTCTCATTATTTGAAAAAATACAATTTTGTTTACATTGGCCATATTTGGTAACCTGGGAAACCCCAGACAACTTCCGGCAAATTTAGATTTGGTCTGAAAGTTAGTCTGGCAAAGAGCTCTTTCAAGCCCATTTCCAGTCCGTCGAAATCGCGGCACCAATCAGAAACTTTGCACGATGACGACAGTGCTGAGATTTTGAAGCAGATTTTTAGCCTACATTACAATGGATGTTTAACATCACTCATTCGAATCAGCTATCGCGTCTGTTTTAAGCGATTTGAACGTTTCCTTTTTGTTAAAAGCCGAGGAAAGAACAACATTTCCCCGCCGGCCGCCGCTCTGCATACGTCATCTCCTTCATCGTTCTGATTGGTTTTAGGTGACGTCCGTTCGTTGGTGACGCCCCTCTGGAAATGATTTGTCTATGACGCTTTGCCAGACCATAATTCACAACTGAGAATGGTCTGGTTTTAACCAGGCTAATATTATTAGCAGTGTTTTCCAATAATCACCTAGACTGAGGTGGACATCCAGTGTTTGCAGCGTCTTAGAGCGGCTCGCTTCACACTTAATGCAGTGAACTCCATTCTTGATGTACTGAGTTTAACGTGCATTTATCAGTCCCTCCAGAAAAACGTGATTATGCGTTCGTAAGATTTAGTGCATAATCAGCCAAAGTCCGCATATTTATGCAGGTGCCGCTTTTTTCAAATTCGCCACATAAACTGCTGATTTCCTTGCAAAATATGCAAGGCTTGCATGATTTCATAATCCTTGCATTTTTCGTTGCAAAAAAGTTCACACAAGTGCAGCCATTTCTCCGTTGCCATGGGAACGCTATGAAGTGACGCAATTACGCAACGTGACCATCAACGAAAAGCTGTAAAACAGAAGCGCACTTTGTTTTTTTAATATTTTATTTATTCATTTTTATAGAAGTTGTAGCATATTCCTTTTATAACTTGTTTAACTCAATGTTTTGTGAGTTTGATGCGTTTATTAAGGTCTGAAATAAAACAAGATGAGAACTTAAATATTCCAGCACTTTCTGTGATGTATGTGCTTGCTTATCATAGGAAGTAATAAGAAATGACTCTTTTACATTAAGGTAGTAGCCTAGTGAGAACAGGGTGTGCTTGGGGGTCACTTTTTTCTCTTTTTCATCAAACGCAGTTTTTGCAAGTTCCCGCAATTTCATTGCATAAATATCCTGCAAATTCCGTTGCATTTTTTTTTTAAAAGGGCCGCAAAATCCAGGATTTTTGCTCGAAACGATCACAAAAAAAAAACTTTTTCAGGAAGGACTGATTTAGGAATGCCGTGTGTGCCAGTTTCGCTTTATTTTCACATTTGCCAAAATAACAGTTACTCTTTCAAGTGAAGAAATGAAGTTTTGTAATTTTACTGCTGTAGTGTGTAGTATAGTAATTTATATACCAATCATCAAATATTTATATTTTATTTTACAATGCAATTGTATTACACTAGCAATATATTCCTTAGAGATGATAATAATAATTAAAAATCCTAATCTGGTTACTCATAAGTGGTTGGTGCTGTTTCTTTTCAGAGGCATTAGATTGATGCAATTAAATTGAAAATATTCAAAAGTTTCTTCCAGGGTTTTTACCATCCACCACAGCCTCACAAAATCCATTGTAAAAACTGCATCTGACTGCCAACATAACCAAATAAACCAGTTTGTCCTTTGTGAATAAGCAGCTATCTGAAACACAAGCTGTGTCACAGTAGAGTCATGCAAATTAATAATAACAAACTAATTAAAAACAACTAATAATGCCGATACTTAAAGGATTAGTTCACTTTTGAAAAAACTTTTGCTGATAATTTACTCACCCCCATGTCATCCAAGATGTCCATGTCTTCCTTTCCTCAGTCGAAAAGAAATTAAGGTTTTTGATGAAAACATTCCAGGACTTTTCTCCATATAATGGACTTCAATGGGAACCGGATGGTTCAGGTCCAAAGGATAGTGTTAATAACAGTTACAGATGCAGCTTCAAATGTCTTTAAACGACACCAGACGATGAATAAGGGTCTTATCATCCGAAACGATCGGTTATTTCAAAGCTTATTCCAAAAATGTAACTTTTCTAAGGACAAATGCTAGCCTTTCTCCATTCTGTGAGGCGCGTTTGCAACGTCACGTAGTACGTAATTACGTTCAAAAGGTCACGGGCGACGTAGCCAGAACTACAGAGTCAGAGTGTTTACAAGTTGAACGCATAGGTTGAACGTGAAAACTAACTCAAACGCCGTTTACAAAAAAGGAATTAAAAGGTAAAACATCGATGTCGGACGATTTTGATTCTGTACTTCCGGCTACGTCGCCCGTGACCTTTTGAACGTAATTACGTATTACGTGACGTTGCAAACGCGCCTCACAATATATTACAAGGCTAGCATTTGTCCTTAGAAAAGTTACATTTTTGGAATAAGCTTTGAAATAACCGATCGTTTCGCATGATAAGACCCTTATTCATCGTCTGGTGTCGTTTAAAGACATTTGAAGCTGCATCTGAAACTGTTATTAACACTATCTTTTGGACCTGAACCATCCGGTTCCCATTGAAGTCCATTATATGGAGAAAAATCCTGGAATGTTTTCATCAAAAACCTTAATTTCTTTTCGACTGAGGAAAGAAAGACATGCACATCTTGGATGACATGGGGGTGAGTAAATTATCAGCAAAAGTTTTTTCAAAAGTGAACTAATCCTTTAAGAATGATCAAATATAATTTTTTTCCGCTAGTACCTCTCTGAGCAGGTCTTGCTCCATGTTGTGGCGAGATAGCAGCATCTTCCTCTTGTATTGGCGACACTGCAACTCGTAATATTGCCTCTGTCTGCGCAGTAACCCTGCCTCTTCCTCTGCCTGGATCTGCTGGAGACACTCCTTCTGCTGAACCAGCCACTCCTGCTTCTCGCGCTTCGGCGTGGACTGGTTCTCATTGAGCTCCTGCACAAGGGGCGAAAATACTCAACACTACATCTGAGCAAATCCACAGCCAAATCAGATTCTGACGTACCTCTTTAAGTTGCTCTTTTCGCTGCCGGTACTGGCGTTTCTGAGACTCGAGCAAGCTGGTCAACTCCTTCTTCTGCTGGCCCAAGATATGCTGCTGAAACTTCTTCTCTTCTGTGAGAGCGCCCTTAGTCTACGAGGAGAAAACAAAAGATGTATTTAAATTCATTGTCATATCACCGATGGTAGATACAGATTCAACATTCAACAAACTAAAAATACACTTAATAAAATTAAAAATATATTGTTTTAAAAAAAGAAAATTTTCTTTTACAAAAAAAAAAATCTTTTTTAAAAAGATGGAGACAAAAAGACAACAAAATGTACAAAGAACACTATCAAAAGATTCTTTGATAATGTACTTCTGAACATCAGCTAAAAAAATATTTTATTTTATTTATTTACTTGTGATGCAAAATAAGTTTTTCAGAGTTTGCCATATAAAACCTGTTGTCTCATGACATTTAAAATGGGCAGATTGGCAGAATAAAATGGCTCTCAGCCTGACTTTCACTCACTATCTCTCTTTGTATGGTCACATCTGTTTTTGCCACCACCCAGAAGGTGTTCAAGGCAGAGATGGTAGGTTGCTCCTTTAGGGGAGAAAGGTCAGTGGGTTTACAGTTGGGCCAACAAGTCAAGGATGGGGGAAAGTCTCATGTGTTCCGGAAGGATCCTAAATTTGGACTGGTTATTCTCTCGTAGCATTTCTATATGAGGTTGTGTACACTTCTTATCGGATGAAACCCTGTACCACCCCTCAACATATCATATTAGCTACATAAAATTAAAACTTTGAAGAAGGAATCTTAAAACTTCTTCCCGCCACTGAGTTATTCAATCCTGTTAAATAAAGAACTGAAAATGTTGACGACACAAGAAGAAATCATATAACACAGATAACAAAACACATGGGTCATTTTGCTTGCCATTTATACTGGTTGATTAGAGGTCAGGAGGTGGGATTTATAAAGAAAAGCCACTCACCTCTTTCTCCAGGAAGACCTGGTGCTTCTTGCCAAGCTTGTCTGCTTCACTGCCGAAGTTGTTTCTCTGCGTCTCCAGTTCTTTGTCAAGCCTGAGCTGATGTTCGTCCATCTCGGCCTTCAGCTTGTTCTCCAGAGCCATCAGCTGTTTCTGATGCTGCCGCCTCATGCGTTTGTATCCGGACATCTGCTCTCTCAGCGCGGAGCCCTGCTCGTGCTCCTGGATCTGACGGGTCACCAACGAGGCGGTGCGGATTGTGGCGAAGTGGTCCCGTCCTCGACGTCTGCGACCACCAGAGGGGCCCTGGGGCTGGGACTCCACCTCCGGCTGGTACGGGTCGTCATAGATGTTATCATGGATCTGTGTGGTATTGAACAAATGAAGGAAGAATCACGAAAATAAATATTTATACACACATGCATAGACTACCTGTATAAAAGTTTAGTATAAAAAAATGTTTGTTTTTAAAAAGTCTAAAAATACAGTAAAAACAGGAATATTGGTAAAAATTATTATCAAAATTATTTAAAATAACTGTCTATTTGAATATATTTAAAAATGAAATTTATTCCAGTGATTCAAAGCTGAATTACGGAAGCCCTGAACCACAACATAAAAAAAAAAAAAATTCTGAAAAAAAAAAAAAAAAAATTCTAGAATTTCACAATTAAAGTCGAAACATTTCGAGAGATTAAAGTAGAAACATCTCGAAATGTTCCGACTTCAATCTCGAAATGCGCCGACTTCAATCTCGAAATGCGCCGACTTCAATCTCGAAATGCGCCGACTTCAATATCGAAATGCGCCGACTTCAATCTCGAAATGCGCCGACTTCAATCTCGAAATGCGCCGACTTCAATCTCGAAATGCGCCGACTTCAATCTCGAAATGCGCCGACTTCAATCTCGAAATGCGCCGACTTCAATCTCGAAATGCGCCGACTTCAATCTCGAAATGCGCCGACTTCAATCTCGAAATGCGCCGACTTCAATCTCGAAATGCGCCGACTTCAATCTCGAAATGCGCCGACTTTAATCTCGAAATGCGCCGACTTCAATCTCGAAATGCGCCGACTTTAATCTCGAAATGCGCCGACTTCAATCTCGAAATGCGCCGACTTCAATCTCGAAATGTTCGACTTCAATCTCGAAATGCGCCGACTTCAATCTCGAAATGCGCCGACTTCAATCTCGAAATGCGCCGACTTCAATCTCGAAATGCGCCGACTTCAATTTCGAAATGCGCAGACTTCAATCTCGAAATGTTCGACTTCAATCTCGAAATGCGCCGACTTCAATCTCGAAATGTTCGACTTCAATTTCGAAATGCGCAGACTTCAATCTCGAAATGTTCGACTTCAATCTCGAAATGCGCCGACTTCAATCTCGAAATGTTCGACTTCAATCTCGAAATGCGCCGACTTAAATCTCGAAATGTGCCGACTTAAATCTCGAAATGTTCGACTTCAATCTCGAAATGCGCCGACTTAAATCTCGGAATGTTCGACTTCAATTTCGAAATGCGCAGACTTCAATCTCGAAATGCGCCGACTTCAATCTCGAAATGTTCGACTTCAATCTCGAAATGCGCCGACTTCAATCTCGAAATGCGCCGACTTCAATCTCGAAATGCGCCGACTTCAATCTCGAAATGCGCCGACTTCAATCTCGAAATGCGCCGACTTCAATCTCGAAATGCGCCGACTTCAATCTCGAAATGCGCCGACTTCAATCTCGAAATGTTCGACTTCAATCTTGAAATGTTTCGACTTTAATCTCGAAATGCTAGATTTTTATTTTATTTTTTATGTTGCGATTCAGGGCTTCCGTACAAAACCATGATAACACTACCACTAAAAACTTTGAAGTAATTAAATAATTAAATTGATCGGTGAAGACATAATGTAACAAAAGATTTCTATTTCAAATAAATGCTGTTCTTTTGAACTTTCTAAGAATCTTGAAACATTAATCATGTTTTCCACAAAAACATTAAGCTCCAATGTTTTCAACATTGATAAGAACCATTATGAAAAAATTGAGGACCAATAATAAATGCTAATTATAATTTTTGATCAAATAAATGCAGACTTGGTATAAAAGTATAAAAGAATTATCAAAAGCTTTGATTTAGTTTTATTTTAAGTTGCTTCACCACAAGCAGCTCAAACAAAGCCATGGACACGTACCAGAGGTTTGTGCAGCACCGAGCTGTTGGAGGTCACTGTATGTTCGCCCTCCTGCATCATAGCCATCTCTCCACTGTCATCCGAACCATCTGCAAGGCTGTTCACTGAAGAACTCTGGGAGCTGGCACTTATCGACATAGACGGCAGCGAATGGGAGCTCTCCATGCTGTTCACCGTGCCTGTCCGCAACATATACTGCTCTACATCCTGCAAAACACAAGACTGGATTTAAAAAACAGAAATTACGATACAAGCAGGTGATGGTTACATTTTTAAAACCAATCCGGAAATGCCATTTGCAAAAGAAAAAACATGGAAACCAGATCAATCCTGTTAAAGGGTTAGTTAGATTAAAAAACACCATAATGAGTGTTCTAGAGCTGTGGAATATAATCGTTTTCATCCCAATGCTGATATGAAGGACTCTGCACTGATGCATTAAAACTAAAGACTTTTTAAAAAAAATGTAATTAAATATGTTGTAATGTTTCATTGTAAATTAAGAACTCTTGAGTATGAATTAAAAGTTTCTTAGCAAATTGTTTTGTTTACATATTACTTAAAAAGTCTAAAAAGACAGGTTGTCTTGTAATTTGACATGCTCTATTGTTTGAAAATAGTTGTTAAAAAATGTTACAGGTGTGTATTATTAATAATAGAACTGGATGACAAGATCTGATGCATCCTGATACATCATACTAAAGTCATCTTTTTTTTGTTGTTTGTGTTGTTTTATGTTTTATGTATTGGACCCTCTTGAAAATGAGATGTTGCATCTCAAGGGGCTATCCATCAATAAATTGAATTGAAATTGAATTGAATAGTAATCAAATCATGAGGAAAGATATGATTCACACCTATAGTGTGTTCATAACCCGTTTTTTATCATTACAGACAAAGAAAATGTCCATTGATTGATTAGATCGTGAAAAGTGGTCTCGATAACAAATGTTGAAAAATACAAAAAACAAAACAAAAAGAAAAGCCATTCCAAAGGCAAAGCAAGTCATTTCACACTACAAAGCTCTTTACAACAGCGGGCTCCCAGGGAAATTAAGATAATTCTCGAGTTCATATTGACTTTACGGCTAGCTAAATCAAAGAGCAAATTTGACATTGCGTCACAAACAACGTAACAAAAGACTCCAACGTTTGAAACATGAGCTGGAAAACGTCTGAAACGCAAGAGAATAGACAAAACAATTTAACAAACCCTAAATTGTGTGTGTCTATTGTTGAATTTCTTTGGTTTCATGATCTAACAATTGGATAAGAGTTCGGCACCCAGGCTGACATGTTTATTGTACTTTCCACATTTGATGTTTCCAAATATAGCTCTTCTACTGCAGAGTAAACAGTTGAACTGACTCTTTCAAATGGGAGGGATTCTGAAACTTTTATTTTTTTGACAACCAGACAAGTTGAAAGGTTCTCCCACCTCTTCCTCCTCCGTCCCCTCGGTGGCAGGCCCGTTATGTGTTTCATGGAAGAGGATCTTCTTCATCTTTCGGTATTGCAAGTTATCTAACTCCCTCACAGCGTCTTTAGTGCGTGCTATCAGATCCATCACTGCTGTCACTGGACGCTCACGGCACAGGAAGTGATGCTGGAGGAACAAAGCAGAGAGGTTTACAGAGAGCCCAAGTCCCTCCCCTCCGCTTCCGGCTCATGGGACCTTATTTCGTTAAAAAAATATGTATGGGAGCCAACGGCGTGAGACAAATTAACTTTATTCCGTCTGAACTGTGCTCTGAATTACACACATGATGTTTGTCAATTTAAAAGGGAACTCTGAAAGTCAAGAAAGTCGCAGTTTGTCATGAAACAGAAGAGGCCATGTGTCCATCAAAGCGTTTTTAGCCATCTGAAAACGGCAGACGCTCTGTAAATCTTTTAAATTGACAAACATCATATGTGTAATTCAGAGCACAATTCAAACAAGATCAAAATATGTGTTGTCTCTCGCCATTGATTACTATATAATACTTTTCTGAAATAAGGTCCCATGGTGGTCCACCGGAAGGGGAGGGGCTTGGGATCTGGGATGCATCATGCTCAGAAAGTGTAACAATAAGAGGCTTAAAGATCCTCAAAAGACGTTTACTTTAAGCAGCACATCAGAGGTAGGTCTGTCCTGGGCAATCTTCTGCAGACACGAGTCTACGAAGTTACGGAAATAATCTGACCTGAGAGGTTGGGAAACAAAATATGCAAATTAGCAAGTTGAAAGTAGCGCAATTCAAAAGGCACGTCCTCTTAGAGCTACTTGGTACAAAGTGAATAGTGTTAACACTTTAGGCATCAAGCATTCAATTCTGAGGACTGCGATCTAACAGTCATAAACATTTACGTGCCTGCTCTCTGCAGAGCTTTGCACATCACACAGATACAGCTACACATGTAAATGCCCAAATATTTTATATAATATGGGTTATTCTTTAGATTACAGGGTTCCTGCACACTTTTTAAAGTAAAATTTAAGACTTTTTAAGACCTTTTTAAGACCTGAAGAAATCAAAATTAATACCATACATTAGGGGTGTGCGATATTGACAAAAATATATCTCGATATTTTCAACGTTTGGTTGATAAACACAAAACAAAAACACAATCAGTGAAATATCAACTAATTATTATCAACAATAATTAGTTGATATTTTACTGATTGTGTTTTTGTGCTGGTGTCATGGCTGGTTTAGGCCTGTTGTTGACAGCAGACTCGCGGAGATATTTATATTTTTCATATTCCATGCAGTGGTCAGTTCACAGCAGTGACAGAAATTATTCATTAATGTGCAATATTTGCCACCTTAAATTGATTTCCAGGGGCATTTTCACCTATTTATGGAGATTTATTTCCTAAACTTATTTAGAGTTATGCACCACGTATATACAGTAATTATACTTATTTATACAATAATATTTAATTACACAATAATTATACAGTACCACTGTTAGCAGTCAAATTAAATCATTCAATCAAAAATCCATCTTTGCAGTGCAGAGGTGACGCAGAAGCAGCCTTAGAAGTGGCATTAATATATAGACTCCATCTACAATTGCATAAATCAAGCTATAAGGTTTTTAAAAAAAAAAACAATATTCAATATTTAAATGTGAAATGATTTCTAATTTTAACGTTCTACTTTTAATATGAAACTAAAACCGCCAGTAGGCGGCGGTAAATCGCTGTCTTAATAAGCGAGTTGAGGGAGTCATTCATTCAAATGATTTGTTCAAACGGGAAAGAAAGCAAGTGATTGAATCGTTAAAATGACTCGTTCAAAACGCGGATTTCCTTCAAGAAATCATCGCTTTCTGTTGCATTGAGACTCTGCTACGGTTTCATTTTGAAATTCTAGTCGGCGAAATAAAGGGAAAACAAACAATATCGATAATGTTATGTCTAAAAACTAACTCACAATGTTAATTTATTTTTAATTTAACTATTGTATATAACATAAATATCACACTTGTGCACGGGAAAACGGCACTCTTACTGATGTGATATTCTAATATAACAACATGATATAAATATAAGGCAAAAACTAATTTGGGGACGTAACTATAACCATAGAGATGATAAATACATGCCTATAACTGCAAACATCACGCAGTGAAAAACGAGAGACAAATGTCAGTCAGCTCACACTCACAGTGCCTCGTCCATCGTTAAAACAATAGAATATCATAATAGACAATACACATCGCACACCTCTACGCACATAAAGAATTAACTTACGACTTAATTGACATTTGCCAACTTTCTTCTCTCCTCCTCTACTGTCTCGCGTGCAGGAGACGGACGTTATTCTACCGCGAATGTGACGCGAATTGTCACGCGCACAAGCAAATCCACAAAGATAGATAAAAATGAATACGTACACAAATTCGAAGTGTCATCTAAAATTTAAGACCTTTCATACCTAAAAATAAGACTTTATAAGACTTTTAATGGCCTTAAATTTTAAATATCTAATTTAAGACTTTTTAAGGACCCGCGGGAACCCTGGATTAGGGTCCAATTCTCACTATTAATCTCGATTTTTGCCTCAAACTCCTAATTGCTGTTTACTAATAGTTAGTAAGGTAGTTGTTAAAGTTGCAATAAGCGATTTCTAGTAAACACTGTTGATATTTGAAATCACCAAAACAAAGACGGCCGTATCCAAAAGGATCCCACCCTTATCTTGATGCCTTTACTTAATTACTCTTTTTTTTTTTTTTTGAAGGCTCCACGTCACTACAGTATCCAATATACCCACAATAATTTGCATATAAACTACAATATTTTACATATAAATACTATTATCTAGCATTTTAAATAAGAGTATTTTAACAGCATATGTTTGCTGTAATAGGGCAAAAAGCTTTTCTGCAATCCCTGTTCAGATACAGAGCTGCTGAAAACACATAAAAAGCAAGAAGATCTTTGACGGTGTGAATGAAGGTTTTCTGGTTCCCTACCAGTGATTGGACTGCAGGACTGGGCTCTCGTTCTGGGCGATGTGGTATAAGGCACTCATAGCATTCATGTTAAACAAGGGAGGCTTTCTCTCTGCTACAATAGAGTAAAAAGAAACAAGCAAGCAGTTAGTTGCAAGGCAGTATATTACCCATAATGCTTTTTTACATAGTCAACTTCCTTTAGTGTGTAATGTTCCTGTTAGAGCTGCAAAGTCCCTCCAGCGGGAGTTATTCTCTATATCAGTGTCAGTGTTTCTGAACTCCCTGAAACTCCGGGAATGAACACGTCAACATAATCCTCATTTAATTAATTCCCAAAACTCGAAAGCATTGTGAGCCAAGTTGATCGGAAAGACCATTGGTGGCAATGGTTCTATGATCTACTTTTGGGAAACGCAGCCCAGATTGTTCCTGAAGTACTGGGAAGAGAAATGCTGCCACAATGTAAAATAATGCTGTTGATTTTTTTTTTACATTCAAGCATGAAAACATGTTATAGTACAGCGATTCCAAAACTGTGATCCGCAGACCACTAGTGGTCCGTGAGGGTAATGCAGGTGGTCCGTGAAAAGGCAAAATAAAAGATAAAATATTTAACCAAGAAATTCCCATTAAAAAAAGTAAAAAGAATATGTAGGCCTATATTTATATAAAATGTAAATTACTAAAATAGGCTAGTGGCTCCGTGTCGTCAGAACCACAACATCGGATCGGTGGATAGCAACAGGTTAGGTGAGCATAAGTTCAAGACTCCAATGGCTTTTCCTTTTGACACCTTTATTTTTAACCTGGAATAACGTTAGGCCTACTGTGTTTTCTTTTAAATGTGTAATGTTATAGGGCAGAAGCAAATATGTTCTCACTATCAAAATCACATGGACAGCCTTTATAGGCAGTTTAGGCCTATATGAAACGAAATGGTTATAAATGGAATGAATAAGGCCTGTTATTATTTTAATTTCCAGTTAACATTAGTTTCTTGATCTCGTTTTTCTGAAATGTTTTGCGAATGTGCTGTTAAGTGGACAAACTCAAGCCTACTTTTTGAGGACTTGTAGAACTCTGAAGATTAACGTTAATAATCCCCTAAAATCGCTAAAGGTTTTATACCCAAGTGTTCTCATTACTGTATAGATTTCATACTCCATTGCTATGGAAATAAGCCTGTTGTTCAAATGAACCTGATTATAATATGTAATATATATTACATAAGTTATATCATAATATGTGTATTATGAGGTGGTCCGTGAAAATTCTTGATTACAAATAGTGGTCCACACACACAAAAAGTTCGAAAACCCCTGTTATAGTAGACCCCAAAAACAAAACCAAGACTTTGTAAAATAACTAGGGCTGTGCAAAAATTAATTGCGATTAATCGCATCCAAAATAAAAGTCTGTTCTTACATAATATATTTGTGTGTGCTGTATATAATTATTTTGTATATATAAATACACACACATGCATGTATATATTTAAGAAAATGTGTTATTCATATATGAAATATTTATATTTATATAATATAGATTATGTATTTTTTATATATATACAGAATTTAAGCGCAAATAATTCTTAAATATATACATGCATGCATAGGTATTTATATATACAAAATAATTATATATAGCACACACAAATATTTTATGTAAACACAGACTTTTATTTTGGATGCGATTAATCGCAATTAATTTTTGCACAGCCCTAAAAATAACGTAATATGGCCTCTATAATATTTTGTCTGTGGTAAGCAACAGTAAGCCACAAATGTGAAGTATGTCAAGCATAGAAATGGTGCATTTTCACAGCAGAGATGCACTGATCCCATGTTCCCTTTCAACACACACACATCTCTTGCACATCACACATGACTTACCAAGCTCTATGCAGGTAATGCCGAGTGACCACACGTCAACCTTGCCATCATATTGCCCTTCATCCATAGCGAGGATTACCTCTGGAGCCATCCTGCAAACAGAGCACAGATTTGTCATAACAGTAACGGACCAGATGATCTCATTATTTGCAACAATACGATTTAAAATGACGTTTAACTCATGCGTAAGGGTATATTTCTGCCTAGTTTGTCGATAAAAGGTGTGATTAATGGGAAGTGTTTTTGTACCAGTAAGGTGTGCCCACAAAGGAGTTGGCAGGAGCAACAATGGAGGCAGAGCCAAAGTCTCCCAGTTTGACTTGGCCAGGCTCAGTCAGTAAGATGTTACCTGCTTTCACATCCCTATAAAAGAAAGAAACAGTAAAGATTCAAAGATGATGTCGTAACTGAAGGCGGCAGCCAAAATGATTTGCGGAGTTTAGTTGATTTGGATCATAAAGAACATATATCAGAATGCGTTTGCATTAGGGGTGTGCGATATTGACGAATCACATCAAGATATTTTCTGGGATTTTGTCGAACACGATAATTAGACAATATTCAGCTGAATGTGTTTTTGTGCCGGTACCTTGGTTAGTTTAGACTCCGGAAGATTTTCATAGTCTTCATACTCTGTGTGATGTTCAATTCACAATACTGACTGATATTTGCCACCTTAAATTGACTTCCAGGGGCATTTTTACCTTTAAAAAAGGTATTTTTCTAACATTATTACATCTTTCACTTCATATTCCCTCATTTAATCAATTAGAATAAGACAACATAGGGAGTTAACAATCAAATAAAACTATCAAACAAATCTATTTTTGCACTGCAGAAGCAAGCAGCATTTAAGTTTACAATTGCTTAAATAATGCTACGAGATTAAGGTTTTAAAAAATAATATTTTGAAATGATTAAGACTTTTTACATTATGCTAGTAGGTGGCAGCATATTGTCCTAATGAGCGATTAATTCAAACGATTCATTCTGAAACCAAGTCTGTCTGAAATCTATACCCTTAAAGAAAAAAATGAAAATTAAGTCATTAATTACTCACCCCCATGCTGTTCCAACCCCGTAAGACCTTCGTTCATCTTCGGAACACAAATAAAGATATTTTTGATTGAATCTGAGAGCTGGATCAGTCCTAGATAGACTGCCTAAGGGACTGGCTCTTGACGGCCCATAAAGTCATTAAAGAAAAGGTTTAAATATTCCATGTGCCTACAGCGGCTCAATTATAAGTTTATCAAGCGACGAGACTACTTTTTGTGCGACAAAAAAACATAAATAACGACTTTATTCCACTATTCCATTACTTCCTTATGGGCGCATGCACGAGAACTGAGACGAGGACGTTCTCATTCGTCTACTTTTTGTTACCGGCTGCTCACCGCTTAGGAGTTTTACCGCCACCTACCGTATAAAATGATGATCCATATATAAGGCGCTCCGGATTATAAGGAACACTGTCGTTTTTTGAGAAGATTAAAGGCTTTTAAGTGCACCTTATAGTGCGGAAAATACGCTAATTGAAAAGCGTATGTACAGCGCTCATCTTCCTCTGCTTGTAAACAGAAAGTTTTGCGCTTCCAGCTTTATCAGCACATCATCTTATACGGTAGGTGAATGCAAAAATCTTAGGTATTCCCCTTTAATAATCGAAAATCGACTGTAATCGAATCGAGTAGTGCTAATATTTGTGATAAACTGCATGCTTGCTTGTGAATACTGCTCAACAATATCATATAGAAATTTAAGAAAAACTCTTTTTAGTCCCCCATATGTTGAATTTTGGAGTCAATCTACTAACTAGGCGACATAACGCAGTGAAAGTGTGCACTCGAGGTGTGTGTGTGTTTGTTTTTTGTAAAGTGTGTGACATGCTAGATATGACAGCTTCCACATCCTTAAAACAGCATTTATATATTTATCGTATACCAGGGGAGTCCAAACTCGACCCTGGAAGGCATGTGCCCAATAAGACCTTGATTAACTGGTTCAGGTGTTTTGAACTGGGGCTGGAGCTAAACGCTGCAGGACAAAGGTCCTTGTTGTAGACAATACACATCGCACAACCCTGATTTGCTTGATGCTCTAAAAAAAAAAAAAGTACCTGTGAATCATGTTGTGCGAGTGGAGGTATACCAAGCCCTGCAGTGCACCGTGAGTAATTGCTGCTATCTCCACTTCCTGTAGTGGTTTCTTGTGCACTGGGAAAGGGGAAGAAAAAAAGTGGGATCCCGTTTTTAGTTTCTGCAAACTTCTTGACCAGTGACGTTTTACACTTCCGCAAAAGCTGTAAACATCCACATGCTCCCTGAAACAACTCCCTCACCTTCCAGCAGATCCGAGGCAGAGCCCAAACAGTACTCCATCACCAGCTACAGGAAGATCAATGACAGGTAGACACAGAAAAGAGAAAACAGGTTTTATTCCTGTCAGCAAACGAGAAGTGTTGCATGTAGGGTCGCTATTGTAGTAACTGGAAACAGTGTTAGCGGGTCAGTACATTCTCTTCCCTGAACAAGCTTTTGAAAAGCGTTCAGCCTCCCTCCCACACACAGAAAAACTCACCCATGCTGTGTGTTCGCGCAGGTAGCAGCCTCTGTACTCCACCGTGTTGGGGTGCCGCAGCTTTTGAAGGAACTTCACCTCTTTGACGATATCCTGCCATTTCTACAGCAGGAACAAGAGAACAATGAAACCATGAAGGGACTATTCAGCGTCGACTTCTGCTCTCCTCTCCTCAGTTTAAATTTCTGATCTACGTGATTGTGGGAAACAGCCGAAAGTGTGTTCTCGCAAATGTTGTGTGGCATTGCGGCGAGATTGCAAATGAGGCGTATCGTGGCACTTGGCGTTCAAGTGTTCTGCAGCACAGTGAAGGGAGTAGTTTCCGCTGTTTAAATGGCACAACGGTCTATTTCGGCCAGAGAGATGCTGTGTGATTTGCAGAAATTGAATGCAATGCTTGAGCTTGCAAAGAGCAGAACGGCGTACCAGTCAATACAAAAAAACACTATGAACTGCCTTCCTGTCTAGAGCCTACACAGGCAGCACCCTAACTGTAACCTCATAAGAGAGAGATTTAAAAATGTCCAATATTACCCCTTTTCCACCAAAGCATTTTGAGAGCCGGTTCGGAGCCGATGCCGGTGCCTGCATGCGAACCAGTTCTGTGTTTCGACTAGAGCCAGACCGATATATCGGCATGCCGATATTAGGCATTTTCCAAACTATCGGTATCGGCAGTTATAACGGCCGATAAATTAATATTTCAAAAATAAAAACGGACCAAAACACGCTTGAACCATGTCATTAGTGTTGGAGTTGTATAGTTTGTCCACCAGAGGGCACTCTACACCGTTCCTGTTGCCAACACTCGTTGAGTTGGTCACGAGACATCCATTGCTTGAAGAACAATGGGCTATATGCACGCATAAGTTCCGCATTTGACGCAAGGATGCTCGTCCATTTCCGGTTGTGGAGATTTAAGCGGAGGAGAACCGAGGAAAACGGGATTACGGCAGAGTCTTCAAAATTTACTGTCCTCCAGTCTTTGAAATGAAACGTACATACGTTTAGATGTAATTTTATATATAGTTAGATTTATTTTATATAATTTTAAAAAGAAGCATAAACACAACGAGGGGTGTCTGTTTTATCTGTTTTTGTGACTAACGTTTCTTTAGTATAACCATGGAGTATAAAATTCAATATAAATTCTCGGTATTGCATTGGACTCTACGATCGGCGGAAGTTATCGAGCATCCTTAACGCCCGTTTCACACATACTCCGTTTGCAGTGCGTATGCGGTGAGTGTTGCGGTGCGTATCCGGTACAGGAGCCACACGCGCTAAAGTGCTTTCACATATGCTGCGTTTGCATTGCGTGAGCTGTACCACAAACACTCGCTATTTTTATTTCAAAATCAGAAGTTATGCAGCAATAGCGTGACCAGCAGTGACCAACAGTCCTGTTTTCACGTCCTTCCTGGCAGTTTTTTATAAAGTGATGTCCTGGTTTTCAAAAAAAAAAAACCGCTGGAAAAGATCAGCTTTATAGCAAAATATAGGAGATGAGCAGACAAGGAGGATGAGGAGGAAAAACAGGATAAAGAGGAAGGAAACTAGTTCGTTTTTGTACGTTTGTGAGAGGTATTTTTGTTCAATTTGAAGGTATTTCTTTTAGTTAATTAATATTGATATATTTATTTTTCTAATACAGAAGAGACATTATTTTTTAATCATTATTTCATTCATTATTTTTTAAACCAACCTGTCATAATAAAACATGTTGAGTATCCTCTGAGAAGCCTATCTGATTTTGTGTCTTAATACAACAATTTTCTATCCACAGAGGAGGCATAGCCTATTTTAATTGTATTGAAATTAATAAGGCATCTTTGAGTAAACTTCGAGTATCATTTGTTTTCTGGGCCATGTGTCCTGGTTTTTGGTAATCAAAATATGTTCACCATATGCAGTAACTTTTTTAAAAATAAAAGTTTTGCGATGGCTTTGCGATTCTCTTTTACAAACTTGAATGGACGCATGCTCGTTTAAACACGATTTAAACAACGAATGCATACAATTCCATGCATTACTTGTATATTAAGATGTCTTAAAGTAAAAATATGAAACAATTAAATACCTTTATGGAGAGATTACTAAATTTTATTGAATTAAATGCATTTATGGTGAAACTACTACATTTCGAGGTCAATCTGAGTTCATTTTGACGACGAACCGTGCGCGGTCACTTTATTTCTGCGTTTGCAGCACAGCAGAAATAGACTCGGTACAGAAACGATCTCTGCACTGCTGTATACGCACCGCACCTGGAACGGATCGACGGACTGCATCCGCGTGCAGTGTGAAAGCTCGAACCTGTTAACATGGGTACGGAAAAAAATACGGACCGCATACGCTCTGCAAACGGAGTATGTGTGAAACGGGCGTAATGCTTCACCGGAAATACCGCCGTGCATAGAGCCCATTAAAAGAACATCCCCATCAGTTCTCTTAACTCAAATAAGCATGACAAAATTTGTGACTATCATGTCCAGTTTTGCCACGGTTCAATAAGCCGAGAGTGAAGCGGAATTAGCTAGTAATAGTTACATTACGTTGTTACAGTGTAGTTGACTTTTAACTTTTGACAATGTGACTGAAGTATTTCTTTAATAGCGCGTGACAGTTATAGCAATGAGACGTATCATCTCTCCTTGGCCAGTTATATTGAAAATGTATGTTTTACACTTGTATGATGTCATCCATTGCTAAATTGTGGCTCATCATAGACTAGCTAATCAAAAAGCTAGCTAATGTCACTATCATCAGTCTGTTCTGTTGTGACAATAAAAGAAAAAAGTTTCTTTTTAAAATAAATTATCATTATTTTAGTTGAAACTCATAAATAACTACAAATAACTTATGTTAAGGAAATCTGTTAATGTTTTGTTGCGCGTAAAAAAAAAAAAAAAAAAAAAAAAAAAACGGCCGATATATCGGCATATCGGATTTTAAAACCAAAATATATTTGTATCGGTATCAGCCTTTTTAAAATCCTTTATCGGTCGGGCTCTAGTTTCGACAGCCAAAGAACCGGTTCTCGGCCAGGAAAACTGGTTCCAAAGCGGCACCAATTCTTTGCTGGACTAGAACCGTTCTTTTACCACGTCATGCTTACGTCGGGGGCTGGGGCGGGTCTAGACGTGTTCTAAACATCGTTTCTGACCATGATATAGAGCAAACCAGGAGAAACATTTGCAGAAACACGATGGAGTCTGCCTTTGTTTGGGAAACATTATAAACAAAGAAGAAAACAGTCACAACATAGAACAAATAAATGGAAAGAAGACAAGACAGGGGTACATAACTAATCAGAAAAGATTTCATATCAAAGGAAAAGTTTAAAAGACTTACATATTTCAATTGTTTTTAAAGCCTTCTTGGTTCACGAGTTAGATATAATTCCAAAGTAATGTTGTACTTGCAAGCGTTTCTAGCTAAGACATGATGTGCACAGTGACGTAACAACGCCGTTCCCTGGGCGCTCTAGTCAGTGGAACAAACAGGTTCGCAAGTTGAACCAACTCTGAACCAACACCAGTTCCGAACCAGTTCTTTTTTGGTGGAAAACGGGTAACAGAGGCTCACGCTCTGCTCTATGATTGGGTGTCATCAGTCATGGCGTGTCCTTCCCTGATTTGTCAGCCACCCATCACATGACCCGTCCCCGGAAGAAAACATACAAAAACATCCTGGACCACGTAATGTTAGTGAGTGCAACATGCATAACGAATTACAAGCGTTACGTTAAAAAGCTAACGTTATCAAATCTGAGGAATAGTCAATTCATTTCCTGTTTACACCGGGACGCGCATGCCCAGTGTTGGTGAATGGTCACGTGATCCGCGTTTTCAGTCGTTTTAATGTGGACGGAGTTCAATTCTAATATGCAGATAAAACGCTGGTGTGGACGGAGACCGTATTCGTTTCAATTCTCCGTTTTTAAATGAAAACTCAGTAGTGCGACACTTTTTTACTGGCCTCATTTCCGGTATTCTTCCCCATAGAGGTTATTCTAGAGTCTTCGTTTAATAGTTATAAACCATGAACCAAATCAACCAGCCACTAGGAGGATCACAACAACATTAAAAACTAGTGCTGTCAAATGATTAAAATATTTAATCGCGATTAATCGCATTAATGTCATAGTTAACTTGCGATTAATCGCACATTTTTATCTATTCTAAATGTCTTTTGATTTCTTTTTGTTACATTATTTTTTTTTTTCTCATTTTAATGCTCTTGTCAACATGGAAAAGTGGATTGGCTTGTTTAGTGCAAATGTTTTTTTATTTTTATTATTATTATTGAAAATAACATTGGAATAGTGTTCAATTTCACACTAACATAGATAAATAATCTCTCACACAATGTAACCGTGCCTATCAATAAAAGGGTGAAAGAAATACTGGCGAGGTCATGATATTGACGAGGGGGTGGAGAATTCGCATCAACTCTCTGTGTGTGTGTGTTTGCTTGGCCATTATCAAGTGGTGTTTCAGACTGAACGTGCTGCGATGATGATCGCTCAGTTCACAACGACAAAACACACAGATCACCTGGTCTTGTTAATGGGACAATTTGGCAACTTTTTAAAAGTAAACTTTCCCTTCAGAATCGTCTAAGGGCATTCATTTTGGCGTCTCGCGCTCGTCATCCACTCAAAACGTAACGTTATTTGGCCGGCTCGCAAGCCGAAACGAGTGTGTGCGGCACAAAACGTCCTCGCGCTGTGATCTGAACCCATTCATTTCAATGGCTTGCGCTGCGCGAGGACGTTTTGTTGCTTCTTCGACCATAGCGCAAGCGGATCTAGCTAGAACGGAAACAAAACAACAGGCACGCCGCAAACACACGTTGCGGCCGACTTTGAGTGGATGACGAGCGCGAGACGCCGAAATGGATCAGGACGCATGCCGCGTCCTGTTGCAAAAGCATGTGAAAAAACTACAAAGTTTGCTAGGACAAAAAGACCGTTAATCGCGCGATAAAAAAATTAACGCCGTTAAAATGGGTTTGCGTTAACGCCGTTAATAACGCGTTAAACTGACAGCCCTATTAAAAACTTAACCAAATAAGTACTAGTATAAAGAGTACAAGGAAAGAAACACAATCCCATGAAACATTGAAAATGACAATCAAATTGAAAACGTAGGAGAAATACAAAAAGAGTGGGTAAGCTTAGGGTCTAATTCTTACTATTAACTAGCTGCATGCATATTAGTAGGATATTGGCTGTTGATTAGTGCTTATAAACCACATATTAATGCCTTATTCTGCATGAATATTCTACATCCCTTAATCACCTAATACCAAAATTGAACAACTAACTTACTAAGTATTAATAAGCAGTAATTAGGAGTTAACTGAAGCAATAGTCATAGTTAATAGTGTTAATTGGACTGTAATCTAAAGTGTGACCAAAGAGTTCTTTTGGCACAATTTGCTTGTTTTGACTCTCTGATTGGTAGAGATTTCATTGCAGAGTCGTGGGTAATGTAGTTTTTCACCAGGAATTCCATTGTTAAATAATTACTTTTGAAGTAATTGTTGAAATAATGCAGACAACAAAAGTATTTAACATCAATTAACCACATCAAAGGTCAAAGTAGTTATGTTTATAAAGATACCATTAAGAAATTATTTTCCTACGGAGAAAACTAGTTTTTACTTCTGAAACAGACTGTTGAACTCTATTGACTTCAATGGAGTTTGCTTTTAGAAAGTAGCCAAGCTAACGCCGCTACACCCCAATAAGCTTGTTCGTCAACCATTTTAACAGATTTTTCCACTGCATAAGTGCAATATGGGATTGGCAGATTGATTTCGCGTGTACACTGGAGAAAGTGACAAGTGTACAGTGGTGTAAATTTTCATTATCAGCATGACTTTTATTTTAAACACCGCCATTTTTCAGTCACAAGACACAAAAACAACAACAAACTACCAGAGATGACACTGACAAGTGCACATTTCGTATCACTCAACTTCTGGAGAAACATAGTGCAGACACTGGACAAGGATGAAACCTAGTGCGCACTGCGTATGCCTCGACCGCCTGCATTCACCCACGCTTTGAAAGCTGTGAACATACACAAGGCGTTCACCTCAAAACTGAAGGCAGTATAATGACTCTGCTACCATTTTAAAACATCCTTTGTGTGAGAAGTCTGCCTATGATGCCTAAAAACGCTTCCCAGGGAGGCAGCTCAATAGGTTTTGGAATAGAGCCATCATCGTGCTCTTACATAAAGCCACCTGCATGATGTTGGAGATTTCTTTGCAGACTGATTCTAGCCATGTCGCACTGCTAAAATACAGGAACGCTGCGTGTTGCGGTGTTTGTGTTCACCTCATTGGATTGCTTGCCACTGTAGGACATCTTCTTGATGGCCACCACCTCATTGGTGCGGATGTCATGGGCCTATAGGAAGTGGACAAATAAAAGCAGAAACGCATGAGGAAGAGATAGTCACTTCATGTCTGTTCACTGAACTGTGCTACAGCTCTGAGCGTCCTAATGGCCACTTACAAAGTAGACGGCTCCGAAGCTGCCATGGCCGATCTCACGCAGGTCTGTGAAGAGTTTCTCAGGATCCTCCTTGTAAAAAAGTTCCGCCACCTCCGGGTCCTTGAGACTCCCAGCCCGCACACTCGATGGCATGGCCAACGCCTTCACACACACACACAAAAGGAAGTTTGCACATTAACAACATCAGCATTGGATTGACTGGAAAACCCTAAAATACAACCATTGGGATAAACTAAACAGGACAGATCAGCTATAAAGCATCTACCCAACATACAGCAAAACAACTCCAGAATCTAGGATACAGCTCAGGGTTAGCGCTGATAAAAAGGGGCCAGTCCTATATTTCTACAACAAATTATGAATAATTCATTCCAACAACCAGAAATAGAAACATTCAACATATCTAAAGTGCCCTTCCCAACTATTGACCAGAACGGGCATCGGATCAAAATTAAACAAAGCTAGAAAAACCCTTTAACATACATCATCTTTATCCAGGTCCTATAACAGTCTTGATTCTGATGAACATATATATTTTGTATTTCGATTTATCTGCCAATATATCAGTTTTCAAAATTAAGAATTATAACAAAATTTTGATACAAATGAAAATCCGAGCTAACGATAAAGTCTGTGGATCACGATTGTTTGTTCAGTTCAATTAATGGGAATATTTGAAAACTAATGAGAAACACTAAACCAAGTTTAGCAGCCACTGAAAGGACATAAACCCAGATCTTCTCTCTGATCCTGGAGTTTGTAGATAAATGAAAGATTTTCAAAAATCCATTATGTGAAAAAGCAGTGTACAAATGGATAAGATCAGTCCAGGAACAAATTAAAGGAGTATTACACATTTAAATGAACTTATGCTGATAATTTACTCACCCCCATGTCATCCAAGATGTCCATGTCTTTCTTTCTTCAGTCAAAAAGAAATTAAGGTTTTTGATGAAAACATTCCAGGATTTTCTCCATATAATGGACTTCAATGGGGACCAAACGGTTCAAGGTCCAAAAGACAGTTTCAGTGCAAACTGTTCAAAGGGCTTTAAACGATTCCAGACGATGAATAAGGGTCTTATCAAGCGAAACGATCGATCATTTAAAAAATAAATAACTAAGTTTAAGTTAAGCTCAAATGCTTGCCTTGCTTTGTTCTGTGATCCACGTTCGTGACTGTCCTGTTCGAACCTGTTCATCAAAATGAACAAATCTTTTTTTTTTAACGAACGAATTCAACGAACGAAACAAACAAAATTACTCGGAAAAAGATTTAACATTTTGATGAACAGGAGAGTCACAGATGCGCACAGAACAGAGCAAGGCGACAATTTGAGCTTATAAAACTTTAATTTTGTTATTTATTTTTTAAATGAGCGATCGTTTCGCTTGATAAGACCCTTATTCATCCTCTGGAGTCATTTAAAGCCCTTTGAAGCTGCACTGAAACTCTCATTTGGACCTTGAACCATTTGGTTCCCATTGAAGTGCATTATATGGAGAAAAATCCTGGAATATTTTCATCAAAAAGCTAAATTTCTTTTTGACAGAAGAAAGAAAGACATGGACATCTTGGATGACATGGGGGTGAGTAAATTATCAGCAAAAACATCTTTTAATACTCCTTTAATATCCCAGGAGGTCAAAAAAAGCATCATGGGTGTGCATTGCAGGATAAAAAGAATCAAAACCACAGCGCTCCAAGATGAACATTGTTGCCAGTCTAAAGTTTGCTGACACCCACATTTTTGGACAGGTTTCTGGACAGATGAGCCCAAAATAGAACTTTTTGTTTTATACGTAAAACCAGGACGGATCTGGCAGGTCTTCTGCAGGAAAACGTCAAGGTGTCGTGTCGGTCTAAGAACTGAAGTCCTGCGAGACAACGCAGAAGAAATATAACGTTTTGGAATAGACAAGGCAAAGTTTTGATCTTCACCCAATGGAAATGTTGAAATCAGTTCTTGCATGTAAATCAAAATCAGAGTTGTGCACACCAAAGGCACTTTTCCCAATTTAAGTGAAAACATTAGTGTTTTTGTGCTGACTTTATGTATAGTTAGTTATACGGCTAGAATGATCGTGTCTCAATGCAGAAAACTCTTAAGGGTTCACCAACAGTCAAGCGCCACTATAATGAGATGCAGCAGAGTGCATTATATAAGAACAACTAAATAGGGTGATGATCTGAACCATCCACAATTGAAATGATTGTTTGAGAATAATTGTGCTTGATTATGCATCACATAAGAGCATTCAAAAGCAGGATGCTGGACCAGACACCTGACTCACAATTCAGATTCACACCTCGCCATGACGCTCTGAGTCATGTTCATGTTAAGATTAAACATGCATGCAAAAAGATTCACCTGAAACGGCAGATGAAATCTGAGAATATACAATGTGTGCGCAGAGGGAACTCTCACATACATAACAGGATTCTTTGTGACACTTTAATGCATGCCAGAATATATTTCCAAGGCCTCTAAATTATTAACAAGATCAAAACTTTGCTGAAAAATAGTTGTACATGATCTACTACATGCCTTCTGTCATCTAATGTCCACCTTCAGGATGTGGTTCCTGTGAAATATTTAATGATTCTTAACGGTAAATGTAAGTTTTAACTTTTAAATCTCTCAATCATCATTGTTTTGAAGTGCACTGCATTTGATTTGCCCCCCCACAATTAGAAACACAAAGCTCATAAATATACGTATTTGAGTAATATTTTAAGACTTAAACAACAATATTTATATGGACAACTGATATTTATAAGCATTTTACGCAAGTAATGTGTTATACTGTGTAAGACCTCATTGATTTACATTACAAGCTATTAGAATTCCATCTTTTTTTGCTAATATAAATAACATTTGCACTAAATTACATATTTTTGCTCAATTTGAGCCTCTGAATAACTTAGGTGTTTCTCAGAGTATGAGCTCCATATATGTTCCTTATAATGTGCCATATAAGCCTCGTGCATCAAATATGCATACACTTTTTTTAAGATTGTCTAATATTTTTTGTTCAAAACTTCAATAAACTGTTCCATTTAAAAATGATTTGTAACTTGTAATTCAGGCTTTTCCAGGTTAAATAATAGATTATGTTGCACAATCAGGCAGCAGATGTAACGTTACGTTATGTTACATTGTGCAAGCCTATGAATGCAATTACCCAAACCACATCAAATGCATTGCAAAAAAAACAGCTGCATATAACGTTTAGACAACAAAAAATAACAGTTTAGCGATGTTCCACGTCATGCATGTCATCCAGCCCTGCATAATGATTTCCACGAGCCTGTCCTACCGTGGTTTATGGGATCCACTGTAGCTAGCTAGAGTCAGCTAGCTCCCGGCCTGCTGGGGAAAATCTGGCCTCTTCTTCTCCTTTCTCACTTCACAAAAAGCGATCGATTTGAATAGCGATCCATCTACTTCTAACGTAACGATCACGATCAGCGGCCGGTAATCAGTCCGTTCATAACATAACTGAATGGGCGATACTGTTGTTAGAACCGTTAACGGACTCGATCAGCTGATTGCCAAACACAACGGACGAGCACTTTACACCACAGTCCGATATTCCGCCTCTGCCGCGCGTGTTTTTATCATTTTTTGACGACGTCGGCGTCATACACTTAATTCGCCTCTTTCTGTCATCGACAGGTCCGTCCCTGTTTTTCTTTTCCTGCCTCATTCGCTTTTTGTTCAGGACTTCATGATGGCGGAGCGGGGCGGGAGCCGACCGGAAACCGGAAGTGCGGGCGAAGTCAAATTAAGGGTTTCTAATGTTTTCTAATAAATACGCATTTCATTACAACACACACACAACCTGATTTTTTAGTGGCGTGTTGAAGAGTGAAATAAGAAGCCAAAGTCGCTAAATGTTTGAGTCTATTAGTCAGACTCAACGTAAAACAATATAAATTCATAGATGAAATGGATATAGGACTGGTTTTATCTAAAAACAGGAAAACAACACTATAATATGTTGTGTGTTTATTTTAATCGAGCTATTTTAAACGCGTCACATCAAAATATTGCTTCAAAATTGCTTCAAAATAATTCATATTAAAGTACAATAGTAAAACAACATAAATTCATAGATTAAATGGATATAGAACAGCTATATCTAAAAACAGGAAGATAACACTATAATATTTTGTGTGTTTATTTTAATCGAGCTATTTTAAACCCGTCACATCTAAGTATTGCTTCAAAATTGCTTCAAAATTAATATTAAAGTACAATAGTAAAACAACATAAATTCATAGATGAAATGCATCTAAAAAACAGGAAAACAACACTATAATATTTTGTGTTTATATTAATCGAGCTATTTTAAACCCATGTCACAGGTGTTGCTTCAAAATTGCTTCAAAATAATTCATATTAAAGTACAACAGGTTTCACATCAATAATACAGAATTATATTTGTTACTACTCATCTGGTATAATTATCAGTGACAGCATTTGTATTTATTTCATATAATATTTATTATATTATTGTATTTGTTTGTATTTATGAGTGAATAAACAAAATAAGCAATTTTTTTGGCATTATATAAGAACTAAATGCCAACTGGACTGGACACTAAATGCATTGTCCATCCAGGCTTTAACCGGTCATAAAAATTACCACAGTAAACTAAAAATGTACCTCTGTAAATGGACTATGGTTTTAATTGTTTTTAACTAAAAATTCACTGTTTATTCACTGTTATTTAAATAGGCTATTGATTTAAAGGGTTATCCAAAAATGAAAACGAGCCCTTGATTTACTCACCCTCAAGCCATCCAAGGTGTATATGACTTTCTTCTTTCAGACGAATGCAATCAGAGTTATATTTAAAAAGTCCTGGCTCTTCCATGCTTTATAATGGCAGTGAATTGCTTTTTACTGTTTCTCTTTTGAAGTCCATAAAAGTGCATCTATCCATCATAAAAGTTCTGCACAAGCTCCGAGGGGTTAAGAGGCCTTCTGAAGCGAAGCGCTGCGTTTGTGTAAGAAAATAGCCATATTTAAACCTTTATAAAGTAAAATAACTAGCTTTCGGCCAAACAAACATACGGATTCTAAAGAGCAACTTATGCGAGTGATACTGCTGATATTAACTCAGAGCCATGATGAACTACGCTACTTTCGACGTCACAAGCTGTGTAAGTTGCGCATTAGGTGTAAGTAGACTGCGTTTGGCTGGTAGTTTATGTAATGTTATGCCTTTTATCCTTCTTATCCTCGCTTTGAAATATTCTCATCTCCTCCACTTCTCTTTGAACTTCATCCTGGGTCACCATGACACCTAAATATACTCTTGCTCCTTAGTTTCTTCTTGATGCTGTCCGTTACGTAACCTTTTCTGACATCACAGAAAAAAAAAACATACACAGAAATAAATAAATAAATAATAATAAAACTTTAGACCCTTATGCAACAGATTTGTGGATTTGGGTACGATTTGGATGAAACCATACATTATGTAACAGCAACGAGATAAATAGTTAAATACATCTGTGGAATAACAGACATTCGCATGTGCACTAGTCTTGTTTTATATTAGCACATGATGAGCATTGTGTATGAATTATTCTGATAACTACAATAGTGTGATGTGCACTAAAGCTCTAGGACAGTTCTGAAAAGGGACATTTTCTGAGAAAACAGTTATGCGGAAAGGATTTATCATTTATCATCATGACATGAATTAACGCCCATGTAGAAACAGCAGGGGCGTTTCATTTAATCTCTATTTGTCAATTGAAAAGCACAGATTATGCTCAAATATTTAACTACAAAAAAAAGTAAATAAATAAATAAATAAATAATAAAAATAATACATGATTATTTAGGATTAGGATTATGTCAAATTTATAATGTGCATAAAATCTAAACAACCTGTTCATGGTTACCATATACAGTGAAATACTATATTAAATTTAATGCGATGAAATGTTACTATAAAATATTGTAAAAAGTGTTTTATTAGCCCTACATTTTTAATCTTATAATTTAAGGTGAAAAAGCACTATATCTCAGTGTGATACATTATATTTGATTTGTTTCTTATGATTTTTTAACGTTTACTTCGTTATTTTAGTGTCATGTGCACAAATTACTGCTTCCACCAACAATATGTTATATACAAAATGCCATTCCATAATGCCTGCAACATTTTTTACAGTGAAATTCAGGCATTATTGCGATTTTCAAGACTGTAATAACGTGACAATAAAAACCTGTTAATTAATTAATTGTAAATCTTGTAATAACCGGAGTAAAGCTGTTTAGATCTCGCCTTATACATTTCATATAATTTCACTCTAAAATACTGTTAAATGTAATTTTTTTTAAAGTAAACAAATATCTTACAATTGACTGTGAAAAGCCGTAAATTGACACTCCCAGAGTGTGACATTTTTCATTGAATTTTTCTGTTTTCTGTGTTTTGTGTCATATAATGTTGTTAAAGGAATGTTTATTGCATTATTTTAGTTTTACATGTGTGTTATAATGCTGTTTTGCGTCTGTGTGCATGTCACTGTGCACCGTATATTATTATTTACCTCAGCTTGTGAAACTGATGAGCTTTGGATTCATCATGGTGGATAAAAACGAATATGCATTATTTAATCAAAAAAAATTGTGGCAACAGATTACAAGCAATATTATTAATTAAATTTAACAAATTAGAATTGATTATTAATTAATCAAATTAATTCCTTAAAATTTAACCATTTAAAATGAGTAAAACTTACAACAAAAACGTACATTTAAGTCACCATTATGGTGATCAGTGTTTGTTTTAAAATGACGGTTTTCTCCTTCAGTGATTCTGCTTGTTAACATCAGGTGTCTTCAATGTTGGAATAAAATATAAATAGTTCTTAATTAATCTTTGACGTCGGTCTGTTATTCGGATATTTTTGTTAAATATTTGGGTGTAAACTTTACTAATTTTAAACGGTCAACTTTTAAGGAATTATAATGTTCATTGCATTTTACTGAGCTATTCTGCAATCATTATTTCTGTAAAAACGACAGATTTTTTGACTGTGTACTTTATTTATTGAATTGAACAGGATTGTTATTTTTGCAAAAACATCAATGTTAGCAGTTGGTTGACTTTATTTCCTGAGTCTGATTGTTGAGCATGATGTGAGAGTGACCCCTCCCCCGGTCACTTTCAGACACCATACAAAAGCCCTCATGAGCCGAGCCAGTCAATCAGAGGAAGATCAAGCAACACTGAGACGAGAGGTCTCACTCCGGACGGACTGCAGTAGGGTAAGCCTACTATATTAATACTGTCATTCACTGTTCAAAACTTTAATGCATATCATGTATGATGACCTTATGAATAAGCTGATACATGCACATACTAATGCCTTGGTTATATCCACAGTTTTGGACACACACCGATCACACTCACAGTTATGACTGCATGCATCTTCTTACGAGGAGCCAAAGTTGTAAGTATGCCGAATAATTACAGTTACAATCATTAGAAGATGACAGATTTGTTTTCTTAAAGTGTTTATTATTTCATCATCATCCCATCTTATGGAACACAGTCCAGACTAATTGTGTTTATAGAAAATTATTTTTGTATTGCACTGTCGAAAATGTTCACCGAACTTAAGTTCAGTTGCTGAACTTGAAGTATGCACTATAAAAAAAATATTGTTGGTTTCACTTAAAAAATTAAGTAACCTGGTTGCCTTAAAATTTTAAGTTGAATGAACTGGAAAAAGTGAATTAATACAATGAAGGAGATTGATTTAATCATCGGAAACTCAAAATAATAAGTTGTCTGAACTAAATAAATTATTTAAGTTGATTTGACAAAAGAAAAAATGTTGTGATAACAAATTTTAAAAATATTTTTTTTACAGTGTATCAACTTGATTGTACAACTTGAATTATGTTAAACTGACTTAAAAAGTCAAGTTGAATATAACTTATAAATTATTTTGATGAGTTGATGATATAAAGATGATATTATATTTTTTATGTATTTCTATTAATTTTATGGCTGTAACACTTTATAAAAAAACTTTCATTTGTCAACCAACTACATACATTAGCTATATAGAACAACGAACTTCCTAATCATTTATTCATCTTTAATAGGGCTGGGCAACGATTAATCGCATCCAAAATAAAAGTTTGTGTTTACATAATGTATATGTGTGTAGTGTGTATAATTATTTTGTATATATAAATACACACACATGCATGTATACATTTAAGAAATATTTGCATGGATATAATGTATATATTAATACATAATTTATAGAAAATATTAATTTTAATATGTTATATAGTTATATGTTATAATATTATATATATATATATATATATATATATATATATTTGCATGTGTGTGAAATTTTAGTACACAGTACACACACATATTATGTAAACACAAACTTTTATTTTGGATGCGATTAATCACGATTAATCGTTGCCCAGCCCTAATCTTTAATGTTAATTTCAGTGTGTATTAATATGATTAAAATCAAAAGTTGACCTAAGCCAACACCTAACCTATTTTTCTATCAAAGATTAGTAAATCATGTAACAAATGTATTGTATTGTTAGTTAATGCATAAACTAACTTTATAATGGAACCTTATTGTAAACCTTTTTAGTATGAATATGAGGGAATAAAACATAAATGGAAAATGCAATTAGAAAATTGTTATAATATATTTGTGTTGAACTACTTTATCCCATTTTATTATGTTTAGTATATTATTATTTTTTATTACTTTTATTTAATTTGGTAACACTTTACAATAAAGTCCCAGTTTATGCATTAACTTACAATGAGCTCCAGTATATAACAGTATTTATCTTTGTTAACGTTGGTTAATTCAAATGTAATTGTTCTTTGTTAGTTCAATAAAAGTTGAATTTAACATTAACTGAGATTAATAGATGCTTTAGAATTTTAGTTCATATAAACTATAGTGAAATATTACGTTAACAAATTTGTGTTTTCTTTAAAGAAAACATATTCGTTTTTATTATATTTCTTAGTTTTTTTAAAATCTCTAAATATGAGAAAAATGGAAATGCTGTGCAATCAGAAAATTGTCATTAATGGATTTGTGTATTAAATTATTGTCTGTGTTTGGGCTGATTCAGCAGACGCATAATCATATTCATCCCCACTAAATCAGCTGGGGTATTAATCTGTCATCACACTAAACCTTTAGTCACATTCAGTGATAAACCCACTAATTCATATGAAAATGGGAGGAACGTGCCATTGAGTGTATCTTCTTAATGAGATATATTACAGTGCACTGCACTTTAAAAAGCACTTTTTTCCATTATCAAACTGGGATTTAAAATAAGCTTAGATTAATCTGGGGAAGAAAATATCCAAATAGAGACCAGGACGTCCAGACGACGTTTGAGTGGATTAACTACCTGTCATTTTGGTTTTGCAGGACAGAGAATTGGCAGATGATGAAATTGAAGGTAAACACACCTGTCAGTTGTCATATATTCTACTACTGTCAAAGCAACAGATGACAGATATCACAAATTTTAACCTCATTTTATTTTACGGACACATTTTTGGCACTATTTCAAAGAGAAGAAATATTGTAGATAAATATTGCAGAGTTTTTTTTTATTATTTACTTATTTATTCATTGTAATTAATAGCTTTTATTACTGAAATATAAAATGTGCGGTTTATACACACACACACACAAAAAAGGTTTCAAACGGAGGATCTTGCAGTGATGCCATTAAATAGTTTTGGCTCCCTGAACCTTTGAGTGAACAAATGTTTTCTGCGGTCACACTAGACTTCGAGCACACGAAATTTCTACATCAGAGTTTACCGAGCCGAGCCCTGCACAAGACAAGCGGACATAAAATAATCATGCATGCACATCGTAATAATTCATTCCCACGACTTCTAAACTAATTCCCTCATTTTACTAAATCATGGCAACATTCTAATTTGTTAACCTTGTAAATCAAAACGAGGGATCGAAGTTCAACGTGACTAAGATTTACTAAAACAAGCGAACAATTTAAAGGCAGGGTAGGCTATACGCTGATTTCACGCAGCCGCCATTTTGAAAGCAGTCAACCCCCCTTTAAAGCGACACTTCCGGTTTTCTTCCCACCGGAGCGATTTCAAAATGGCGCTGCGTGAAATCAGCGTATAGGAGATTTTTTTCCATATTTTATTTATTTTTTGTTATGCTGGTTGAAAGACTCTTCACATCCTGATAGCAATCATTAAACGAATACTCCACTTTTTGTGAGATGGTCCTCACTACAGAACATGACATCCACAGGGAGGAGTTGGATCTGGATTACATACAACTAAACCTACCCAACTCCACCCACTGATCCCTAAACCCACCCCTAAACTTACCCAACTCCACCCCTCAGATCTGGATCCGACTCCGCCCCCTGGATCTTGTGTACTGCAATGAGGTGCTACTGCTTTTTTTTTTTTTTTTGGAAATAGACAAATTTTACAAATCCACACATCCAGAGTTAAACTGTTGAGTTTTACCGTTTTTGAATCCATTCGGCTGATCTCCGGTTCTGGCGGTACCACTATTAGCATAGCTTAGCTTAGCATACAACATTGAAGTGTACAAGACCATTAGCATTTCTCAAAAAAAAAAAAAAAAAATTACCAAAGAGTTTTGATATTTTTCCTATTTAAAACTCTTCTGTAGTTACATCGTGCACTAAGACAGACGGAAAATGTAAAGTTGCGATTTTCCAGGCTGATATGGCTAGGAACTATACTCTCATTCCCGCGTAATAATAAAGAAATTTTACTGCCGTACCATGCAGCAGGCGTAATGATATGATGCAGCGCCTCAAAATAGTCCCCAGCTCGGTATTAGCAAAGTCATTTGAGGTCATTTGAGGTCATTTTTAGTCATGCCACTGGTCTGCCATCTTTGGTGTTACGGGTTTTCCCTGTATGTTTGTATTGAAGGTTTAGGAAGTGGCATCTCTATATAAATTGTCTCTGGTATTAGCCTATTTTCAGGCGCTGCATCATATCATTGCGCCTTCTGCACTCATGGTGATCGACCATAAAGTGGTCTAAGTAAATTCATATAAAACATATATCTTCTGTTGGAGCCTCAGGACTAAAACAAAAGTTGTCCAATCATTGCATTCGGTTCGTATGATGTCAAAAGTTAGCTTGCTATTGCTAGCCTGTCCGAAATGACCAATTACCTACCCTGGGAACAAATTCTTAATTCGTGGCCACAATTTAACTAAAACTAGTGAACGAATTCCTAAATTGTGGCCAAAATTGACTTAAAAGCACAATAAATATTTGTCCGCATGTCATGTGCGGGGCTCCTTACCGTAGCAATGCGGAACTTCCAAATGTCAAACTTCCTTACATGAGCTTGCATTTCCAGTCTTTAGCATTTGTATGCATCAATAGAAATGAAAAGTCTAGTGTGACTTACATACGTAGTGTGAAGAACATTGTAATAATCCAAAGAACCTTTTTTTCCCACTATAGACCATTTCACAAGATGTAAACAACACTGGTCCAGAAGCACTTCCTGTTTCAGTTTTTTAACATTACATAAAAGCTGGGATAAAATACAACCAACAGAACATTTAAAACTGAATCAAAAAGTTAAACAAACATCTTTAAGATGTTTTCTTTACATTTACAGTTACAAACTGAAACAGGAAGTGCTTCTGGACCAGTGTTGTTTACATCTTGTGAAATGGTCTATAAAGAATCTTTTGTGGAATGGAAAGGTTCCATGGATGTCAGAGGTTCTTTATGGAACCATCAATGGCAATTGAAAGACCTTTTTTTTTTTAAGAGTGAACTTGATGACTCTTTCTTTGTTCTCAGAGCTGAGAGAGGCATTCAATGAATTTGATAAAGATAAAGATGGTCTTATTAGCTGTAAGGACCTGGGAAACCTGATGAGGACGATGGGTTATATGCCAACCGAGATGGAGCTGATCGAGTTGGGCCAGAACATTAACATGAATTGTAAGTAGCATAAAGAGTGTCTTTCTCTATCAGGCATCCCAGACAGCAATATAGTCTCGGCCTAGATCCGGTACATGTGGAGTCCATGTGTAACAGATCTGGGCCGACACTATGTTACTGTCTGGCTTAAATTCAAAGTACTGGCATAATATGGAAGCTTGTTTCAGCCACAGAATGAAAAATAAAAAAGGTAATTGCGACTTTTTATCTCACAATTCAGACTTTTTTTCTCACAATTGCGAGTTTACGTCTCGCAATTCTGACTTTATTTCTCAGAATTGCGATAAGTAAATTCTGACTTTATTTCTCAGAATTGCGATAAGTAAATTCTGACTTTATTTCTCAGAATTGTGATATGTAAAGTCAGAATTGCGAGATATAAAGTCAGAATTGCGTGTTATAAAGTCGCAATTGCGTGTTATAAAGTCAGAATTACAAGATATAGTCAGAATTGCGAGATATAAAGTCAGAATTACGAGATATGAAGTCAGAATTGCGTGATAGTCACAATTGCGAGATATAAAGTCAGAATTACAAGATATAAAGTCAGAATTGCGAGATATAAAGTCAGAATTGCGAGATATAAAGTCAGAATTGCGAGATATAAAGTCAGAATTACAAGATATAAAGTCAGAATTGCGAGATATAAAGTCAGAATTGCGAGATATAAAGTCACAATTGCGAGATATAAAGTCACAATTGCGAGATATAAAGTCAGAATTACAAGATATAAAGTCAGAATTGCGAGATATAAAGTCAGAATTGCGAGATATAAAGTCAGAATTGCGAGATATAAAGTCAGAATTGCAAGATATAAAGTCAGAATTACAAGATATAAAGTCAGAATTGCGAGAGTCAGAATTGCGAGATATAAAGTCACAATTGCGAGATATAAAGTCAGAATTACAAGATATAAAGTCCGAATTGCGAGATATAAAGTCACAATTGCGAGATATAAAGTCACAATTGCGAGATATAAAGTCAGAATTGCGAGATATAAAGTCAGAATTACAAGATATAAAGTCAGAATTGCGAGATATAAAGTCAGAATTGTGAGATATAAAGTCAGAATTGCGAGATATAAAGTCAGAATTGTGAGATATAAAGTCAAAATTGTGAGATATAAAGTCAGAATTGCGAGATATATAAAGTCAGAATTGCGTGTTATAAAGTCAGAATTGCGTGTTATAAAGTCACAATTGCGAGATATAAAGTCAGAATTGCGTGTTATAAAGTCAGAATTGCGTGTTATAAAGTCACAATTGCGAGATATAAAGTCAGAATTGCGAGTTATGTCAGAATTGTGAGATATAAAGTCACAATTGCGAGATATATAAAGTCACAATTGCAAGATATATAAAGTCACAATTGCGTGTTATTAAGTCAGAATTGCGAGATATAAAGTCAGAATTTTAAGATATAAAGTCAGAATTGTGAGTTATAAAGTCAGAATTGTGAGATATAAAGTCACAATTGCGAGATATAAAGTCAGAATTGCATGTTATTAAGTCAGAATTGCGAGATATAAAGTCAGAAATGTGTGAGAAAATCAGAAAGTGCAGAAATTGTGAGATTTAAATTATTTTTTTCACCTTAAGAATTGGCCTGATAACTCACAATTGCGAGTTTATATCACAATTCTGAGAAAAGATGTCAGAATTTCAACATATAAACTCAAGTTTCTGGCAGCATCACAATATTAAAAAAAAAATTATTTTCAGAACAGTAAATGTTCGAAATAAAAATACAGTATAAATTTAAAAAAAAAACAATCTTTTAAATCTGTAGTCCAAAAAGCATATAAATAAATACAAAAAATAATAAACATTTCTTAGCAGGTTCTTAGCATACAAAATCAGTAAAAACAATTCTTATCATTAATATAAAATAATTTAAAGAGTCTATTCGGTAACTCAGTAACTCTAGCTTCTTGTAGACTTTTATGTGTTATAAAGTCAGAATTGCGAGATGTAAACTCACAATTGTGAGAAAAAAACGTCAGAATTGTGAGATAAAAAGTCGCACTTCTGTCTTTTTCTCAGAATTGCGACTTTAGGCTATACTTTATATCTCGCAATTCTGACTTTATAACACGCAATTGCAACATTATATCTCACAATTGCGACTTTATTTCTCAGAATTCTGACTTCACATCTCGCAATTGTGAGATAAAAAGTCACAATTATTATAATTTTTTTTTTTTATTCAGTGGCGGAAACAAGTTTCAATAGTTTTGCATATTACAATATTATACACCTGCAAAAGAAAGTAAAGGGAAATCTATTTGTGTTCTGTTTTCACTTTCTCTTTGTCTCAGTGGGAGGGAAGGTAGACTTTGAAGACTTTGTGGAGTTAATGACCCCAAAGCTTTTGGCAGAGACAGCAGGCATGATTGGTGTGAAGGAACTGCGAGATGCTTTCAAAGAGGTGAGAAGGCAAACTAAAGAGAAACATGTGTCTGCTGATGCACAATGATGAACAATTAAGGTATTTTGTGGATTCACCCAAAGAAGGCGTCGAAACTCTCACCTGGCTTTAGCAAACTCCATTTGATCTGTTACCATAATGTTATTATCTCTCATCTTAGCGGGTGAGAGGAGGATGAAGTCCTTAGTTAATGAACTCAATTTGCTCTGGATGAAAAGCCGATCAGTGGTTCTCAGGTCTTTAGAGGTCACGGCCAGCATAAATGCAAATATCATTGAGAACCACGCACTGTGCCAAATCTATCTTCACATGAACTCTTTTCCTTTTTTCCTGTCTACAGTTCGACATGGATGGCGATGGCTCGATCACAACTGAGGAACTGAGATCTGCTATGAGTAAATTACTGGGAGAACACATGAACCACAAAGAGATTGACGCTGTCGTCCGAGAGGCCGACAATAACGGCGACGGTACAGTAGATTTTGAAGGTGAGAAATGACACACATTTTCAGTGCACGGCATGCTAGACAAATCAAGCATTTATAGACTCCTCACACTTCCTACACATTTACGTGTGAAATGCTTTTCGGCTTGTTTTTGCAGAATTTGTGAAGATGTTGTCAAGCTGCTGAGAAAATCAACTTCTGGATGCTGCAGATACATAAAACATACATAAAGCAAAATGATTGTACAGAAAGACCCCCACAAACTATGCAAAAATCTCAAGCTTTCAATGCAATACTAAGTTATTGATCTTAGAACTATATTCACAATATTTATCTGACATTATATATACAATAATATCATCTTTCCATCATTTTAAATGATATTTCCTCAATAAAATACAAAATGAAGAAATAAAAGACATGGAGTGACGTTTCTCTTTTTGTGAATGTCAATGTGAGTTTCCATAAAAGAAGAAAGAAATCGCATCCATTCCCATTAATGGGTGAAATATTAAATTCACAAGGCTTATAAAAGGGTATCCGCGGGGAACCTACTTCTTCTGGCATGATGGACACTTTACCATCCCATGAGGCCATTGGAGAGGATCTATGAATGGCTGTGAAGTGACGCAAATGACTCACATGACAACATGGCGAATGTAGTATGCCCATTACATTTCATCTACACACAATCATAAAAACATACTTTTAAGTAAATACTTATTCAAACAACCCGGTCTCACCCCAAGACGTCATATAACTGACGTTTTGGGACGTCTTTTGACCATACGTCAATATTCGCCTTTTTAGGGCCCCCTTAAACGTCGGTAGATGAGGTTATGGGATCCTAACTCTACCCCATACCTAAACCTAACCCTAAACCTAACCCGTCACCTAACTGACGTTAAAGGTAAAGCGTCAGTTGTATGACGGCCCGGGATCGCCATCTACCGACGTTTAAGGGGGCCCTAAAAAGGCTGATATTGACGTATGGTCAAAATACGTCCCAAAACGTCAGTTATATGACTTTTTGGGATGAGACTGTGTTAATTCAAAACTAGCACCTTTTAAAGAGAGCATGTGATTTCGGATGCAGCCTCTGTCATTCGTTCATCCTAATCTTTATGCCTGAGACCTTCAGATTAAGTGACTCTCAACTGGACTCTGCTCTTCAACCCGGTCCGCTGTCGTCATCAACCTCGACAACATCATTTCTATGAATGATGCACGACCCTGTAGGCTTCCTGTAACCAAATGTCTCCATTAATCTGTCGTTTCTCAGAAAAAAAAAAACGGAAACAAGCCATGTAATCTGGGCCGCTGCCGAGAGCAGATGGTGAAGATTAGAAATCACTTTTAAGGGAAACTTTCTTTGGAAGATTAGAGGGGATAATGGAAGGAAGATCTGATGAGAGGCGCTGAAATATTTTTGGGCTAAATTAATAACTGTAATTCTGTCAGGACCACTATCGTCAAATAGGATTGACAATTAGCATACAGTTTGGATTGGCACATCCATGAGGCCTAGCATGGATAAGGCCGTGTGTCCAACAAAGCGTTTTTCCACGCGCCTGGCGTATGTTTTCAATTGTTTTCGATAGGAACGCCGCGTTTTTTAAACGCCATGAGCGTAACGAGGCTCTGAGCGTTTTTGTCACTTTTTTTTACCCAGCAGTCCAATCACAGTGGAGGAGGGGCGGGACTAATACCACACTGACCAACTGTCATAACATTCAAACTGCTGCAGATATTCTGTAGAAAGTTTTTGTAAACAGCGAGTGTAATTTGACACTATCTCCACCTAACGCAAAACCGGCTTCTGACGCAGCACCGGATGTAACTGGGAGTGCTGAGACAAACCCGGAAGCGATCATGCATAGAGCCTATTGACGCTCAAAACGCGACGCCGGTGGATTTGGCGCTCCCAAGGGGGTAATCCATCAACCGGAAGTTGAAGCCTCGCGGGAGCTGCCATCTTGTAGCAGAACTTCACTTGCGTTAGCATTCCCATTGACTCCCATTCATTTTGGCGTCACTTTGACAGCGAATAACTTTACATCTGAGGCGTTTGAAGACCCCATTTGTCCTTTATTTATTTCTAAAGAAACACAACAATGTATAAAATGCTCCATTACCTTGTTATGGCCCCGTAGAAGCAGTTTTAGTGAAAGTAGGCTAACGATTGCGTCATACCCACGCGACTCTCTGTCACACAGTAGAGAGATTACAGTATGGACAGGAGAAGAAGCTCGCGCGCAATCGGGGAAACGTGGAGGCAAAATGACAAAATAATTCATCAGAATACCTAGCAGAATTGTCTCCTTCTCCTAGATCATGGACAGCTCCTACTCACACTCTCCGCCTCTGCATGTATAGGAAGGGAATGATTCAGATTTCTCATGCCACAGCACTAGAAGACAGACGGGTTGCTCTCGTCACAACTACGACATCAAGCTCTGTTTGAGTCTGCGCGTCAGGGACGGAAGTGCTAAAAAATCACCAAAAACGGGCTTCAATCGTCTCAATGGAGTTCCAATGAGATCTGTCCACTTCTTAGACTGTCTATGCACGCTCCTTGTAGCTGAGAAAAGCCAGCTTCCATTGAAAATGAATGACTTCCGGTTTGGTGAAGAGATGAGTCCCCCTGAAGAGATGGGTCCCACCTTAGGACCCAAGCGATCCGATTGGTTCAAAGCTAGTTTTAAGGGTAATTGCTAATCAGTATTACTAATTCCTATCAAACAATAACTTCATCAAACAAAACAAGGTGACAGGAAATACTTACAGCTTCAACAGAGACCTCCAGGGAAGTTTAAAGGGGTGTCAAATCAAATTTTCCTTGAGCTGTTGAAATCTAAGAGGTCCTCATCATCATATTATAAGAATATCCTGTAAGTTTCAGAACTGAAAACGTCCTTGTTAGTCCAATAAAAGCTTTTATTGACACCAGGCTCAGCAAACGACTCGTTTTTCAAAGTGGGGAACTATGAGGTCAAAGAGGGTAAAACACCACCCCCGCAGAAGAAGATTCAACACGGCCGTTAGCCCCGTCCACCGATTCGCGCATTACACGCATAACTAAATAACATAGATGCCTACCTTGTGATGACAAACCGGATCGAGCTACCGAGCAATACAGAATATTGTGCAGTGCCTGGTTGTGGAAGACAGTCGCTGCATGAGCTTCCTCATGTTTCCAATAGGACTGCATGGATAAACTTTATTTTTAATGACGTTCCAGCTGATGAGGGTAAAACATTGTCGTCTGTTCGCTTCATTTCACTGAGGATTGTTTTGTAAACAAGACTGGATTTGCAGACCGATTAAGAGTAAAGAACGGTGATGTGCCGTCTATATTGGATCTGACAGGAATGGTGCAACACACAGACTCTGGGTCGAACAACATTGGACGTTTTCAAAACAATTTCCCCCAAGTGCACCGACGTGTGAGTTGAAACTCATTATAATATGCAAAACTGTTCTCCACTCACAGCAGTGGGCGTTTACTTCCAAGTCTTCAGTGCGAGACGCCCATAAAAACCGAGCATTTCTCAGCTAGGCTCAAAACTAGGGTACAAAATAGCCTATTACTTATTCATTTGGATGTTTTTTAATGCAAAAACCAAGCGAACGTCATAAGTTGACCTCAGACAACAATATAATAAAATTTAAAAAGCCAGTATATAATCGCATCGGTATAATCGCAGCAGGATTTATGAACTCCTTCAACATCCTTCAAAAACACTGGACCAGAACAACCAATTTTAAACTGACGAGAACCGACAAAAGACTCAAGGGGACACACTTAACGATTAGCTGAAACATTCGACTGAACTGAACACATTTACAGTGTTTATGTTGCAGATGTTTCCAATGCAGATTTTAAACACGACTGCGAAAACAGACTAAAGCGACTCGGTGCGTTTAGGCATTATCAGTCGTAAGTATCAAATTACAATCACAATCGGCCACAGTCGCTAGAGACCGTTTACACGACACCGGTTTCAAATAAAAACAGGAAACCTTTTATCAGTGCCGTTTTGAAAACGGGTTTAAAAATGCAAGTTTTTGGATACAATTATACACGTGAAAACCATAAACAGTAAAAATGGTGAAAGTGGTGACGCCATGTTCATGTGTAACGTGTGTTCAGTCAGTTGGTGTGTAGCGTCTCGATACAAAGTGACGTCGCCAACTACTGGCTTGGCAGCAGAATACACAGATTTTAGTCGTTTTTGCGGATCCATGAGAACGGCATCGTTTTGACAATGGTTTTGTTTGTATGCGAAAAACACAAGAGAAAAACTTTTCAGTTTTGAATACATCGTCAATGTGCCCTGAATCAAAACCAAGGCCATAAACACACATCCCTCTGATTAACAAAACCTAGAACAGGTAACTAAATCAGTAACCAACTCAAAGCACACAGACAGACGGGCAGGCAGGTACAACCAAAACTAGAACAAACAGGACATAACCCCGAGTCCCCGACACAGAGCTTATGAAAATCAGACAACAGAAGAGAGGATGCCGCATGATTAGCAAATGCTTTAAAATCCCAAAACATCCAGGATCAGCCAGAGAGAGAGAGAGAGAGAGAGAGAGAGAGAGAGAGAGAGAGAGAGAGAGAGAGAGAGAGAGAGAGAGAGAGAGAGAGAGAGAGAGAGAGAGAGAGAGAGAGAGAGAGAGAGAGAGAGAGAGAGAGAGAGAGAGAGAGAGAGAGAGAGAGAGAGAGAGAGAGAGAGAGAGAGAGAGAGAGAGAGAGAGAGAGAAAGGAGAAGGAAAGACATAAAGTAAGGGGTCAAAGAGGATTGTGAACTCATACTGAAAGATGAAAACGTACCGGTGGTGCTGTGATTCTTCATGCATGCGACACAACAGAACAAAACTTTGACACTGTTGTATATTAAAGCAGCTAAACAGCTCGAGATTGCAGATTAAAGGGTGAAGAAAATCCTGGAAAGAAAACCAATAAATCTAAGAAATCAAATATAGATGCTATAAATAAAAATAAAAAAGACAATATTTCAGGATTTGTGGTCATCTCAAGTTGTTGTGTTTGTAAAGTCCTTTTCCTGCTGTTGTTACCATAGATGTATAGAGTCTTCATTAGTAGGAGGATGTTTTACTTAAGTAACTTTTATTTAAAGCTACACTATATATAACTCTTTTAGTTTATTCTTAGCTAAAAACACTTAGTTCTTTTAAAAATATATGTGCTCATTAATGAATATTTACTTCATTCAAGTAATAAAATATTCTTGTGAGTGTATAATATGCCATTGAAAATACATACGGGTAAGGGGTTCTAGCAGGTTCTAATGTCGGTCGCCATGTTGACCCTCCATCTTGAAAGTGCATAAGCCAAATAGGGACATACCCATTAATTCATGCTTCGACTTT